GTACTATCCCAATATCGTATGTGTACCATTTAGCAGTGGAGGAGTTGGCCTTCTCTGAGAGTATTATCAATTATAGCAACTTCTTGCTGTATCTCGGTTCCGACTGAACCCCTCGCCCTCGGGGTATATCGCTGTGGACGCGTGGCGCCACTGCGGTAATTCCGCAATCCCCCCCTCCCTTACATGTTCTTCTTGGCCTTGGCGAGCTTCTTCTCACGGCGCTTGGTGGCCGCCTCGGCGCCGGCCTCGGTGTCGAGGCAGTAGTCCCACCAGCGGAAGCAGGATGCATAGTTGCCAATGAACTGCTCGTGGTGCAGGTCGTGGTGATCGGCACCAGCCCAGAAGGGAACGAAATGGTGTAGGCTCCAAGGGAACTCGTAGCCGCTGTGGGCATCGACTGCCTGAAGCAGGCGCAGGACGATCCAGAGCTGCATGGTGAAAAGGTGCAGGTCGTTGGTGATGTAGACCCACAGGAGAGGGGTGCCAGCAGTACCCAGGCCAAGGACCAGGACCTCGATGGGCGAGGCATACTCGGCAGTCAAGCCGAAGGGAGCCGAGTAGGTATGGTGCAGCTTATGGATTAGGCGGTACAGTGTGGGCTGGTGCATGAGGCGGTGCGTCCAGTAGTGCCATGTGTCTTCGAGCACAAAGAATATGACAATATGGAGCGCCATCTTCCACACAGGCGGGAATGGAACATCGAAAGCCATGCCGCACCATATGGCCATCGGGTGGAACAGCCAGATTTCGGGAAGCTCGACAGTGAAGTGGCTGAGAAGAACGAGGGCAGCGCATTGGAATTGCTCCTTCCATGTCGGGATTTTGTCCTGCAGCCAGGAGCTGATGTTAGCGATGGCCCTCTGACCAAAATGGGTGATGATGCATCTGTCTCGCATGGGCCAAGGCAAGAGGGGTTAGACGCACGGCTTGTATTTTCCACCGGCGGAAGAAAGGTATCGCGTCGATGATGATCCATGGTAATGACCTCCCGAAGTAGACAATCTCGTGGACAAGGAAGGTAAGGATCCCTGTGGCCAAGATGTCGTTTTGCATCCAGACGTACCAACTCTACTAGGTTGTCAGCAGCCGTAGGCCACCCAAAGGAGTACGTCTCGCAAACTTACTGCCCACAGGCGCTCGACAACATTGAGCGTCTGATAGTGCTTGGTGACTTCGTCAAAGACGAACGGTAGCGTCACGTCGGCAGTTGACGCCAGACCAGTGGCGTTGGCCATGGTGTGAAGTTGAAGCATATTGGCGGCGACAGTCTCCCCCGGACCAATTCAAAGATGGAAGCAAAGCAAAAGATGGCCCGTCTCGCCGAGTTTCGGGATATTCCGTCCTCGTCGTGATGTGTTCAAGTCGGCGCGATAGGGTGTGGTGGTGGTGGTGCATGCCTGGCGGGATGCAGGAGCAAAAACCCCAGAGCCAGGACAAACATTGCTATTTATTATCGAGCAGCTCTTGTCGCTCTGCCTATGGCCTTTGTCTTCATAGCCCGATATCCAGGCCGCCATCGTCGAATGGGCTGGCAAACCCAGGACGGTGGTATGATGTTTCGACGAGCCTTCCGCGGAACCGAGCCAACCACGACAGTCTCTGGGTGGGTCGGGGCTCCACCAAACAGGAACTAGCTGGCGGGAGCAGCCATTGCCGGTGGCCTGATGTGCGTCAACGGCTAATGCTAGAGGAGAAAAAGGCTAGACGACAGGACTGGGGAATTGCGATCAGGCTGGGATGCAATTTCTTTGTGGCACCATAGCCGAGGCATGGCCAAAGTGAACGCCGCCCGTGGAATCCCGAAGTCGCTGTGGGCGTGTCATGGCACGAGCAGATCCCGAAGGGCGCGTGGTTGCGGGCCACTTGGAGCCCTTGCCTTGTTGGCGCGGAGGAAAAAAGGAAGGAGACGAGTAGAGACAGCACAGAATGCTCAACAGGCTTCTGTCGAGGGCTCCTCAGGCTCTCAGCCTGGTTTCTGTCCAACAGTGCTCGGCCATTTGAACAAATGCGAGGGGGAATTGCCAGCCTGACTCCCAGGCGCGTCCATTCGCCTGATTGCAAACGCGCGCGGACGAGCATCGCTCTCCAGGAAATTCAAAGTGCTAGCAATCAGCGACGACCCAACCATACGGCCTACCGAAGCGAAACTTGCTGGCGACGGCGGGGAGGCATAGCCTAAATGCAACTAGGCCATGTGATGGCCTTGCCGCGTCTGCATCTGCCATCATGCAAACGGACAAATCGTGGGCTTGGCGAGCGAAGTCCAGCTAGACTCCAGCAAACCGGCATGGAAGCCGCTCGGCCGTGCCGACCTCGAGATCCTCAGCAGTGATCAGTCTGGGCCTGGGCCATTTGCCTGCACGTTGGTGCCAACGAGCAAGCCGTCAAGACAGTGCATGTCTCGCGCAGGGGAGGACGTGGTTGCGATGAGGGCGGGCATGCATGCCATTTTGTGTGGCGTGGTGTTTCTACCGCCAACGGTGGATCGTCCATGGGGTTGCTTACTGTTCCGGGACAGACAAGACAGACATTGGCGCCAATTTTCCGGGCGTTTGGGAGACCCTCAGCTCAGTGCCTGTAGCCGCCCTACAATCGACAGGCATGAGGTTTAGACCTAGCCTCGAAGCTTTACGAATTGCCGGGTTGGGTGCTTGCGCGTCTTGTTCGGGTTCGTAAGAGCGCCATTGCTGCTGCAGGATCGGGGGAAAAAAATCGACACAGCCCGGCAGCCCTTCGTGGTGTCTTTCGGCAGTGCGAACTGGATGGAGTGGAGGGCCTTGTGTGGCCCAGCAGCCAATATTGATCTTGCACAGCACACTTGGCGCTGGCTGTTGGCTTCTGGCAGGCGCGCTGGGGACAGCCAACTCAGCTGCAGCGTGACATGGGGGTCAATTTCACGCTCTCGATGCTCGCCTGAAAAGCGGGGAATGCAACCCAACTTGGCAACTGCCCAAGCCTGGACGAGGTCCCTGCCACCCACTGCCACCCACCAACTTTGATGTTTTGGTGTGCCATGTTTTCCTGCAGTGCTACAACGATCAAGTGTTGCTGGGCGCCGTCAATATTCGCCCGACCTTCGAGAGCTTCTTCGTTCAAGAGATCAGTAGGGATCCAAAATGGCCTCACTTGAGATAACTACTAAGGAACGTCGAGAGCTGGGAGCCCTACCAGGCAAAGCGACAGCCCGCCCATCTAATTGCCTGCATGGCATTTTGACCCCTCAAAATAGAAACTAATAAAACCCCACCCCCCGTCAGCACTGCTATCCCGATTGGGATGCAGGGCCCGCACGGAGCTTTCGAATCGGGAGTCTGGGCCTCCCGTTGACAGCCAGGCAGGTGCCATGGAGACACTCAAGCACTCCAGGCACCTTTATCCCACAGAAAAAAAAAGGCCTGATCGAACATCCGCCTCCAGCTGGACCCGTCCTTCCGCAGGCCCCGCGTCAAGCTGCCAGCGCCCCCAGCCCCCTGCTCACCACAGCTGGCAAAGATCCCTGCCCACAGTGAGATGTGTGGGAGTGAGCACCTTCTGCCATCGCTAGTGCGGCTGTATCGTCGTCGCCGCAACGTGGAGGGGGCGGGAGGGCGTCAAGCGCCAGCCTAGCGCCATCGCCATGCCCACCGCCATCGCCCATCGGCCTCGTACCTGTGAGACCGCCGACCAATAAGCGGAAATAAGCGGCCAAGTCGCCGCCGGCTGCGCCTGCGTGGCCTGCATCCTTCGAAGCGACCTCGCCAGGGCTCAGGCTGGAATGGGGCTCCTCGCTCCCCTGGCTTGGCTGGCCCTACGGAAAGCCATGCACCCCTACCCTGACTGGCTGGCAGACAACCATGTGGTCTGTTGCAACGGTGGACTCTCTGTTGAGAGGCACGGCACCAGCATGGTCCTGGCCACCACCAACGACACCCACTGGGATTGAGCGCGCCGTGGTCCATCACGATCCCGGTCCCTGTCCCACCCTTCCCGTTGCAGGGGTGTCTGATCGCTTGACCGTTCTGGACGCCCTCAAAGATAATCACTCACCCACCCGCTACCCTGTTGCTTATAGCCTTGGGGCCATTTCGATTGTGGGCTGCACCCTTACCTTCCTTCCGTAGCTTCCCCCAGGCCGTCTCCATTATGCCCTTGTCCCGACAAGCTGGTTTTCTCTTTTGTTTTCTCTGTATCCCGCTTTTGCATCTCTCCCCTCTCGCATCCCTTCGTCATAGTCCTCCTACTGCATACCCAATAGTCTGGTTCTTTAATGTTTGATTTGAATTATTTCCTTAATTGGTTCCGGAAGCGGCGTTGCGTATACCCACTGCTCAGTACCGACGACGAACTCGAGTACACGGCGACCGTTGTGTCCTACACCTACGCCGTTGCCTGTTCCGCCCGAGCTTCAGGACACAGCAAATCATTCAGCAGAGCTCTTGGCTTGAGATTTTCACCCAAGTTTCCTTAACTACTCAGCAACTTGAACGGCATACCGAAGGACTGGCCGGGGAGCGCGGGACAGGAGTTCCCCTGACGGCAGAGGAGCACGGGAGACACCGAGCCACCGAGCAGACCTTAACTCGACTTCGGCATCTGCTTGGCCTCAAATATGACGACAGGGGCTCCGTCGTCATATACAACGTCGACAATCACTGTCGAGTACACAGGTACTCGCGGTGATGTTATGCAAACAGACATCTTCCCCCTTCCGCCGCAGACAACACAATGGGTCGCGCCGACGTCATGCAAAACCAAGGACCGTCCTGTGGTATGCTCAAGCAAAGGCGACTGGTTCGACAAATGTCACGAGTACGAGAGCGCCGACGCGTTCGGTAACGTTTACATCGATTCTTCCTGCTACCCACCCGGCTACAGGGATATCTTCTCGCGAAAATCGAGCATTTGGAGCGACATAGCCACCGCAGCATATCCCGGAACCGCATGTCCTTCGGGCTGGTCCGTCCCATCGGACAGCAGTTGCAAGCAAAATATCATCCGGGGGTCCATACATTACTCACAAGCTTGGTGTTGCCCTCAAGGCTTTAACTCGTGTGTCTTTAACTCCAACACTCGAAACTGCTACATGCAGCTCACTTCGGCGACCCAAATATGGACCCCGGCGACCAGGACAACGACAGCATCTGGTGTGACGACCGTGGCGCAATTCGCCACGGCCATGGCGAATGCCGATAGCCAGAAGCCCCTCCATGTTTACCACGCTGTCTTTCCACTCGCCATAACATCAACCACCGCCTCCGCTGGGCCCGGGTTTACTGATAAGTCCGGACCAGTTTCTCCCGATGGAGGAGGGAACGGCAACGGCAGCAGCAGTACTACGGTCCAGATCGGACTGCCGCCAGCAATAGTGGCCGGGATCGTCATCGGGGTTGTGGCCGGGTTGGCATTAATCGCGGCCATCTTGATATTTCTGTTTATGCGCCGCCGCCGGGCCACCGAAGTGCGACACTCAATCCTCCCGCACAGGACAGCCACCTCGACACCCGGGCTACCAGAGGACGGTAGCGGCGGCGTCAGCTACGACCCCTTTGCGCCGGGCCAAACCACCCCGGGGCTCTACGGCGGCGGCGACCCCAAAATGCTCACAGCGGCGCCGGCGGTGGACCCCATCGTTAGCAGGTGGCACTCGCCCGCGACAGTCGGGGCATACGCGGCAACGGCCCGGTCTGCGAGCCCCTACGATCTCGGCGACCCAAACACCCAGGGCGTGGAGCTCGTCGAGCAGATGGGGCAGATGGAGGCGGTGGTGGTGGACGACGGCGGTACCGCAACGACATGGCCGCAGACGCAACCGCAACCGGAAGAGTACTACACGCCGCACAAGCCGAATATCCCGCCCGGCAATGTCGAACTGGCCGAGCTCGAGTCGCACCCCGTGACTAGGGTTAGGGTGCCCGTCGAGATCGACTCCAACCCTTCGGTCATGTCCTACGAGCCCACGCCAGTCACGGCCGCGCCCTTCTCTGCCGCCACAACCTCGGTTTCCCCCCTGAGGATTCCCGAACCAGCCGTGACAATTATTCCTCCACCTTCAGATGGGGACAATCGCCGCCACTTCTAGGTTCGCCTCGGTCAGCTCGCTCGTTGCTTCGCATTCTCAACGGGCATTGGATCGGCGGAACACCGGGGATCGCAGTGGGCCAGTCGCTGTGCCGTGCCGTCCTGGTGCACACACCGCCAGCTCTTTGACAGCGTGCGCAACCAACAACCACAACAAACATATATATTATGGGCCCTGTCAACACCCCTGAACGAACTCCTCAGCCCGCTTCACATTCGGGACCGAGCATCCACCGCATCTCGATCGCGCCTGATCCCAGTCTCTCCCTCTCTTTGACTTGTCCGCCAACAAGCGGCAACCCATGTCATCTGTACCTAATGATGGTCCCGGACGCAAGCAAGATCCGCTTCATCCCTCACGGCCTCTGTTTCTTCTTCGCATGTACATAGAAAATTTTCGCAACGTCGGCGGCTCCAAGGCCGTCCACCTCTCGCTGCAACTGGCGCAAGCTCTGTTTTCATTATTGTAGGCAGGATCCATATTTCGGGCTGCCCTGCACCCAACGATTGACTTTCCTAGAAAGCGAGCTGAGGGTTTTGTACCATCCACAATAACGGGAGAAGGGAATAGGGAAGAAATTTTGATTCGCATGTGCATGGTTATTGCTCGTGCTTTGTCGAGGATATTAGCAAATACACTGGGCTTGCATCTATACAAGTCACGAATATTCAAGAGTGCACAAGTTGGAAATAAGAAAGCCACGCCGTACTGTAATTGATATACCCTCGATAAACCCGGCCGCCAAACCCGTCGGAAAGCCATGGCCTTGTAAGACCCCGTAATGTATCCTGGGAATAGCACACATGCCCCGGTAAATATGCCACCCGGAATCCAACTAAAGAACGACGTTGAACGAAAATAAAGTAGACATCATGGCTTCATGATCTGCTCCCATCTCTTCTAGTCATTCGTCATCACGCCAAGTTCGCGTCCATTCATTAATAGCACTCAAAAAGAAACAAAACTTGCCCATTCCAAATCACGCCCCCGCCACCGCCGCCGCCGCCGCCGCCTGCGCAGGCGCAGCCGGGCGGGCGGTCCCGGGGCGGTGGATGTAGTCCTTGTTCTCGATGGTGACACTCTTGGTCATGTGGTTGACCTTGTACACCCCCACCAGCCTCGCCGCCAGCTCAAACATGTTGTTGCGGAGCGAGATGACGATGAACTGCGCGTTCTTGGTCCGCTCCTTGATGTAGTTGGCGACGATGGACACCTGAAAAAAAAGAGGGTGTTTGTTAGTTTACGTGGGAAATGGGGGAGAGAAGATGGTACGTCTGGAAAATAGGGATGTGACAGGTGTCCTGATAGTGGCAACTCACGTTTCTAAAGTCCAAAGCGGCATCAATCTCGTCCATGACGTACAGCGGCGTTGGCTTGTAGTGGTGGAGCGCAAAGACGAGGGCCAGACTGCTTAGCGTCTTCTCACCGCCCGACAAGTTGCTGATGTTCTTCCACGACTTCTTGGGCGGCATGACGCTGAACAGGATGCCCTCGCTGAAGGGGTCGAGCGAGTCGACGAGCTCGAGCTCGGCGTTGCCGCCCATGGTGATCATCTGGTACATCTCCTTGAGCCGCAGCGAGATCTGCCCAAAGCCCTCCATGAACCCTTCGAGGCGGAGCCGCCGGAGGTCGTCGCACCGCCTCTTGGCCGCGTCGCGCTGCGCCACGGCGCTGTTCAGGTCCGACGACCGAGCGGCGTGCTCCTCCACCCGGCGGCGGTACTCGGCGAGGACGCCCAGGTCTACGTTCACGTTCTGGGTCTTCTCCTCGAGTGCCGCGATCTCAGCCTTGAGCTCTGCCTTGTCCATGTCGGCGAGCTCGTCCTTGCTGTACCTGGGCAACTGCAGCGGTCCGCCCGACCCCGATGAGGCAACGGGCGCGATGGACCGGTCCTTGACAGCCGTCTCATCGGCATCGCTCTCGTCGTTCTCGTCCTGGTCCTCATCGCCGTCCTCATCTTCGCCCTCGTCTTCGCTGCCGCTCTTGATCTTCTCTGCTTTCATTTTGGGCTTCGCGACCTGTTCGCCATCAACAGCCTCGTCTTCGGCCGGAGTAGGAGTAGCGGCCGACTTGCCGCCAGTCAGATCATCAATGTCTTGGAGCGCCAGCTTAGAGAGCTTGTCGTCCCAGTGCCGGAGCTTTCTCTCCATCTCAGCCAGGACCTTGTTGCTCTCCTCGAGCTTGTTGCGCATCTCGATCTCGGCGGCGCGCGTCGCATTGAGCTCCGAAGTTTTCTCGTCCAGCTCCGCCTTGAGTGCGGTAAGCTCCTCCTTTTTGCCCCTGAGTGTCTCCTCGGCCTCGTCCACCGCCGACTGCAGTGATTCGGCCTTGTCGCCCTGGTTCTGGATCTCGTCCTCTAGGGTCTCAAGGTCGCGACTGGCAGCTTCGAGGTCCTTTGTGGCTTTGGCGTGATCCTTCTGGAGCTTGACCCTCTGCTTCTCCGCCTTGGCCTTGGTGACTTCAGCGGCCGAGAGGTCCTCATTGTGCGACGCCACCTCCGCTTTCAGCTCGTCGATCTTGGCGCGCTGGGCTCGGAGCTTCTCGCCGCCGACCTCCATGATCTTGTCCTGGAGAACCTTGATCTCTTCTTCTGCGCTGGAGGTCTCACCGTGCAGCTTCGCTAGTTCCTTCTGGAGTTTGGCAATTTCCTTCTCGAGCACCCCGACACGGTTGTCATCGGATTGCGAGGGCTGGTGCTCCTTCCCGAGCTCTTCGACGCGACGTTGAGAATCGGCAAGGTTCTTGGCTGCGCTCTCCATCTCGAGGTTGATTTTCTGCATCTTGGTGTCAAGACGCGGGATCTGATCCCTCAGCTCTCGGAGACGCGTTTCCAAGCCCCTCTGATACTCCTGGAACTCTTCAAACTTCTGCTCAAGGCCGTCGCGGTCACCCTCGAGCTTTGTAACCTGCTCCTTGCTCGTTTCGGCAACGAGCTTGGACGACATGAGACCCTTCTTGACCGTGGTTCCGCCACCAGACATGGTACCAGATTTGTCGATCAGCTGGCCTTCGAGAGTGACTACGCGCCACCTCTTGGCACCGTATGCAATGCGGTTCGCCTGCACAAGATCTTTGGCGACAAGGGTATCTTGCAGCGCGTGGTAGAAGGCGGGCCGGAACCGCTCGTCCTTGGCTTGAACAAGGTCGAACAGCCGCGGCGCGTTCTCGGGCGTCTGGATTGGAGACAGGTCGCGAACACGGAGCTTGTCCAGGCATATGAAGTTGCCACGCCCGAGGTTGGTCTTGCGGAGGTACTCGATGCACTGCTGGCCCGCCTCGACCGTGTCGGTGACGAAGTTGTCGAGCGCGCCGCACGCTGTCGAGATGGCCACGTCGTACTTCTGGTCGATGGTCCCGAGGTTCCCAAGGCGGCCGTGGAAGCCATCGATACGGCCTGACTCCTTCATGCGCATGAGGGCCGTCAGGACGTTGCCCTGCGTCTGAGTCTGTGCGAGACTGGACCGCGCCTCATCGGCCTTCTGTCTTGCGTTGGAGACCTTGGCGCGGATCTTGGGTTCTTGCTGCGCGAGAGCCTCGAGCTCTTCCTGCACTCCCTTGGCCTCCTTTTCCAGCTCGGCCTTTTCGACCTTGCATGCCTTCAGTTCGCTGGCCTTTGCGGCCCTGGCCTCCTCGATCGACTGAATCTTGGCCTCTATCTCCTCCAGAGCCACGGCACCGGCGTTTGCTTTTTCCCTCAGAATAGACAGCTCGCTCTCCGCGACCGCGATGGCTGATTGCTTTTGATTAATCTTCTCCTTCCATGGCTCCAGAGACTTTTGCTTGGCAGCAATCTTGTCCGAGAAGGCCTGCGTCTTGCCCTTGAGGCTATCCCTGATGGTGGCGAGCTCGGCCTCCTCATCCTTGACGCGCTCCTCGAGCGAAACTATCTCCTGTCCATGAGTCTCTATGTCCTCTCCGCATTGCTCGATCGTCTGCTCGGCCTCAGCAGCCGAGTTCTCGGAATTTGCGATGGTCTTCTGGAGCTTCTTCTGCTTGTCCGACAAGAACTTCTTTTTCTCCTCGAACTTGACCCTCTCCTGGTCAAAAGAGGCCAACTCCTTGGCGAGTGCCTGTGCCTCCTTTGATTGGGCTTCGAACTCTTTGCTGCTCTTGGAGTAGGTTTTCTGCAGCTGCTTGATCACTTGCTCGTTGCCCTCGTGGTTCTGGAGCTCCACTTCAAGCTGTGCCTGGATCTGCATCACTGCCTCCTGGTTTGCCGCAACGTTGTCCTCGTAGTCGCCGATGTAGAGCTGATACAGAGCAGCCTGTTTCATGACGAGCTCGTTCTCGTCGCGAACGAAGGCAAGCGCCTTATTCTTTTTGTCCTCGAGGCTGTTCTTCTCCTTCTCTACGTGCTGAACCCTGCCGCTCTTCTCCATGCAGATATCGTTGAGTGTCTCAACCTCTGTTGCCGCCTCCTCAATGGGTGTCTTGTACTTGGAGGTGCCAATGATGTCCTCGAGGTATTCCAAGAGACCGTCCTCGTGCTCATTGCCAGCTTTAGGCTTCATCTGGGCGATCGACTCGACCTCACCCTGCAAGATGAGGAACCGCTTGTGGTCGAGGTCAACACCCCTGTCACGCAGCAGAGTCGTCACCGTTGTGAAATTTGACGTCTTGCCGTTGATGTAGTATGTGCTGGTATTGTTCTTGAACGCCTTCCTCGAGATCACGAGGTCCGAGTCGGCAATAACCTCGTGGCCCCCGCCGGGGAGATCCATCACCTCCCTGAAGTGGACAGCCACCTCGCAGTGGTCCAGGTTTGGGTACTGGGCCGAGTTGTGGATCAGCGCAGAAAGCTTGCCCTGTCGCATCTTGCTGGCTCGGAAGCCAAACACGAATAGCAGCGAGTCGATGACATTGGACTTTCCGGAACCGTTGGGCCCGACAACGGACGAGAAAGACGAGTGGAAGGGGCCGACTTCTTGCCTCCCCGCGTAGCTCTTGAAGTTGGTCAGGATGAGGTAGGTGATGACAATGCGCGCCTTGGGCGTCGTGTCCTCGACGACTGGGACCGTGATGGTGCGTGACTTGAGCACGATGTCCATGGGCTTCTCAAGGATTGTATCCATGGCCCTGATGGGCTTCACGGCAGCAGCCGTTTCGTCTGACGGCCTGCGCTGACCGTTCGCGCTCGTCGTCGTGACGTCACCAAGAGGGCTGCTGGACACCAGGGAGGAGTCCGGTGAAAATGGTTGCTTCGGATGCCTCGGCGTAGGGTCCGGTGTGGCGAGCGCGGGGAGCGCGGCTGGCGGCTCGGGGGTGGACTCGGTCTTCACCGCTCGCGGGGCAACACTCTTCCTCTTGCGCGGGGCAGCCTTCTTGGATGGTGACGAAGGCTCCGCGATCGTAGTAACCGTCTCGTCTGGATCGGCGACCTGGCTTGGCTCCAGAACTTGGCTAGGTTCTAGGACTTGGCTCAGCTCATCATCCTCGGGCTCTGGCGCAAGGCTCTTCTTTGGGCGCCCGCGCCGCGGGGCAACGATGCTCGTGTCGCCAGTTTGGCGCCTGCTTCTGCTGCTGGTGGTGCTGGCAGCGAGGGACTTGCGCGGGCTGCGCTTTGGTGCCGGGGTGAAGTCATCCTCGCTGTCGTCGGCGATCTTGCTCGTGCTTCCGATTTCGTCGTCCGAAGAGTCGTCGACGATAGTGCGCCGCGTCGCAGCGGCGCGACGGGTTGTTCGTGAGGACATGGGAGTAAAATAAAGGAGAAAATCGGGTATCAACGGTGGATGGGACAAGTATTTGCGCAGTATTCAGAGTGCCGACTAGTTGTGCGAGAAAAGGCACTGTCTTCTCATCGTCCTGCGGCCTGTCGTCTCAATTTGACTGGCGTCGCAGCTCGCTGTCATAGGTGCAGGTGGGCTGCTGGAGGGACACAAATGCCCCAGTTCCCCCGCTTGTTGATATCTGCCCACATTTGGATCTCGTTGTAAACAATGCGCAAGCCACGCGCTAACGCCACACCTGCACCAGACGGCTGGCGCACCGCACGGCAAGATCACGTGCTTTCGTGTCTTTGTCTCCACCATGTGGGCGTTCGCTCCAAGCTGCGTCTGAGACAGTGATGACCGGGAAAGTCAATGGACAAGCTCCGTCATCCGCCACCCGCTCGATAGTCCGCCGCCCGCGTCGCTCCCATCATGGCGTTCGTCGACTACACGCAGTTCCACCAGGTCTTTCCGCCAGATCTCGGATCGCCGTACGCGCCAGACTTGATCCGCGAAATCGAGACGTACCGCAAGAGCTTCGATGGCGTGCTGTTCATCGACCGAGTTCTCAAAGCCCTGGGCGTGACCAAAGGTATTCCCTGGCCGGGGCGCCAATGCATCTGTAGCCTCCACGTCCAATCGGAATTGGCTTGCTGACCTGCTGCTGAATACGGTAGCCAAGTCGTATCCTCCAAGGGGCGATAATGGCCTCCACGAGCTGCACCAGAAGGTCTGCCAGAGCAACATGTCGGCACACCACAAGCTTTCGGTCCTGTACTACCTACTTCTGGATTACGATGACATCCTTGGCGTGCGATCACAGCTAGCCGAGCAGTTTTGCCAGAAGACTGGCATCCCCAATAAGTACCAGATCTTCATGAAAGGATTGTGGCACATGGATCGGCAACAGTTTCATGTATGTTGTTTCCGGCCTCTCTGCCTTTGTCAGCACGTCCTAACACTGCCGGTTGATAGCTTGCTCTCGAATACCTTGCACACCCCTCGCTTCTTCCCGAGTTTGCCGACGACATTATCTCCATCCTGGTCTCGCAGGCACAGGGCGGCGACTATACTTGGGCTCTTGCCTACTACCATTCGGTGCAACCTGTGCTGAAGACAGCAGGGGCCCTCGAGTTGCTGTTTGGCGCAATGGCTCGCACGAGCGTGTCTGAGGCTCTCTTCTTCTCGCGCTCTCAACCAGAGCCGACGCGCCGCCTTTTGTTTGAGCGCCTCGTTCAGTCGGTTCATGACAGCGACGCATCGGTTGCGGGGAGCAGGGATCAGAGGGCACGTGCCCTTACCAGTCTTCCGCTCGACATGGACGAAGACGCGTGGTTTGAAGAGTTTCTCACGAGCGCAGAGGGCAAAAAGCTCAAGAATGCTCGGGATACCTGGGCCCTGCGCAAGTTTGCAACAAATCAGCTCTCGGACGTGGGCGACGAGAAGCTTCGGGCCCGCTTGGCGGCCCTCGGCCGTCCACACTAATCAGCTACATGGGGCCATCGCGCGCGCGACCCCGTTCCTATCACTCAATCTGTTGTCAAATACTTCGCCTGGTACTGTTGGGCCTTTTGCATAGCGATGGCGTTAAATAGGCTGCGTCCAGGGCTGTGGATAGGAGCTTGGACACATGTTCGGCGGCATCTCGACTCGGACACACCCTCTCCCGGCGTCGACATCAGGCCTGCACGTCATCGTTACTTGTCCAGACCCCGCTCAGTTTCTCCGTCTCAACCCGGATTCTGCCTCGTTCAACCCCCTTGCCGGGCAAGCCGTTGTTCGTGCATTCCAGGCACGTATGACGCATTTTTGAACGCAAGCTCATGGCCCCGTTTCGATCATCTGCCTGCCTCTCGGCCATGCGCAGGCCTTGTGTTAAGCCGAAATTGCATCTCTCGATGGCCAATAAGCAGCAGCCATCGTCAAGATAGCGGCATCGTCAGCACCAATTCTCCACCGGGTATGCGGATGTTGGCGTCCGTTGCAATCCCGCCCATGTTACCGTCACCAATTAAATGCGATTTCGTGGCTTAACCCCTCAACTTCATTCTCATGGTCATGCTGCCATGTTTGCGTACTCCCTGGACAAGTGTCCAGCCTGCAGCTTGCCAGAAATGGCGGTTGTCCTTCCACCCAGGTGTGACGGTGTGACACCCAACATGCACTTCGGTCCAAGAAATGCGCCGCTGGTAACACATGATTCGGCAGAAGGTCAAATCTCACATGATGACCTCCAACAGCCTCCAGGGGTCGCGGTCCGTCCACATATCCTCGACGGTGGGCCTCCTGCATTATTATCTCGTAGGCAGACACTAGTCGCTGCCTCAGGATACTCTTGACAATCCAACAACCTGCCGTGCCTGTTGCGGGTGGTCCAGCTTGCGACAGTGCTCCATTCGCCCGGCTGTTTTGGGGGCACTGCTCTGCTCAGACACCCCTAGAAAACACGATAATGGTATATTATTCACGTCTTCGAAGCGGGCCTCACACCTTTCGGGAAAGGCGCATTTTATACGAGGCCCAGGCACCGTGGCCACCCTCCTGGAGGCACAAGCAGGATGGTGTAGAGCCGACTGCGTATATCTTTGGGGCTTGATAAACGCTCACGCCCCATCGTGAGAGTGCCCATTTCCATCACTGTATCTTTCCCTCCTTACCGTGGCCCTGTTTTTATATTTTTATATATTATTGAGCGTGTCCAAATTGCCGCAGGACTGTTGCGAATCTGAGACGTAATTAGCACCGCTTAGTCACCAAACCCTCTACAGAAAAAGATGAGACTCCCAACTGGGCACACAGCCAACCAAATGTCATCGGCGCCTTCCCCAAATAGTCTCACGAAACTTATTACCACCACGTCGCATAGCATTGCTGCCAGAGACACCAACACCCCAGTTGTCAGATCACATTATGTGACGCTGACCGTGTCCCGGAATTCGCGGATCGAACTAACAACCATTCTACTTGGGACTGTCACCAACTACCCTGACCAGTTCCAAGCTGGCGGACTCGCCGCTGGCGCGACTGCAGAGCCAGGCCGTGGGGTCTCAGCTGCCACCTCCTCCACCGGGGCACTCGGAAGTGTCGAGACCGCTATAATCGCCATCGTCATTATCCTCACGGCCATCACGGCCATCGCCATGTGGTGCCTATGCCGGAGATATCGAAGACGAAAGCCGCGTCCCAGGAGTGGCGGTAGTTCTTCGTCGTCAACACGGCCGACGACACCCAAGCCGACCCCATGGTCGTTCTCGAGACCAACGACGCGCCCGTCGAAATGCTTCCATTGCCAGCACCACCGCTGCCACCGGGGCCGAGGGCTGCCTGGACCGCCGGGCCCGCCTGGGGCCGATGGTGTCCAGGGGCCACAAGGGCCGCAAGGGATTCAAGGAACACAAGGAGTACGGGGGCCTCAGGGGCAACAGGGGTCACAGGGAGAAAAAGGACAAAGGGGAGAAAGAGGAGAAAGGGGAGAAAAGGGAGAGCGAGGCGACAAAGGAGAGAAGGGCAGCAAGGGTGACGCTGGACCTCAAGGGCCCGCTGGTCAACCTGGCCTTATAGGCCCTCAAGGTCTCCCAGGCCTTCGTGGTGCTCAAGGAGATCCCGGTCAGACAGGTCCTCCTGGACCGCAAGGCTCAAGAGGATCACCAGGCCCCGAGGGCCCAGCAGGCCAGGTTGGAAACGACGGACGACCGGGGCGGCCAGGGGATACGGGACCACCCGGGGCACGCGGGGAGCGTGGAAGCCCCGGGCCGCCAGGTCCTCCCGGGCCCCCTGGGAACGACGGAGATCCCGGGCTGCAAGGACGTAGCGGGGCGGATGGCCCCGAAGGAAAGAGAGGGCGTTCCGGGAGACGGGGGCACCCCGGCGAAGATGGCGTCGATGGAAAGGACGGCATTAATGGTCGGGATGGTATCGACAGCAAAGATGGGATTCCATACCGCCATGTATACTCTGGGCCACCCGGAACAACCACCGCCCCCGTCAACGCCTCCGTTGGAGGCCCCTCGTCGTATGGATATCCAAGTCATCGCCACTCATTCGGTCACCCTGGCTATCGGGACACGGTGATTTCCAACCGGCCAAAAGGCAATGGAACCGCAGGGGTCACTACGCCCGGAGGCGCCCTTGATCCACGCAGTGGTGGCTATGGACCATCAGCTTCTGGGCCCGGCGCAAACGGTCACTACGTTTTTGGGGGTATATACGGAAGAAGTTGGAAGACTTAGTTGGACTCAGCTGCCGGCGCCAGGCTTCATCACTCTCGTTCTAGTCTCTTCAGTACCTGTTTGTCTCCTTCAATTGCTTCCCAGGGTTGCTGTATATCCCTGCCCTACTAGCTTAGTCTCCTTTGTCAGCTGGGTAGCAGCTTTTCGCGCTCATTGATAGCCTGAACATCCTACTGCTGTAGCCCTGTATAGTTCTTTTCTCTTCTCGCATCTTGAACCGAGGTCGTATTGTTCAAGCTTTCGGGGTTGACAGGGGCACAAGGCTCGTCACGTGTAATGCTCCATGCCAAGCCAGCGTCGTCAGATTGTGGGTCCAGGAGATCTGATCGTCCAATCGACCCAAGATCTGGCCAGCGCGCGCAGCTGTTGCCGACAGCTTGCAATTGCGCCGCTGGAGCTTGCTTGCAGCTTCACAATCCCGATTTCGACATCATCAAAGTCGCCTTCTTTTTCTCACCCTCCAGCCTTCCCCGCACATTCGTTTTTCTGGTTTGTACTTGCGTGTCTGTAATTTGCGTCGCTGCAGGATTGCGTTCGCCCATTTGTTTTGCCCCTTTCCCTTTCTTTTCCTGTCGTTTCTACCGCGGCCACGGATGCGAGGCGCGCCCACGTCTCGATCGACGTCCGTCCTCTCCCCAGCCCGCCCAAGATGGCGCCTCCAAAATACAAGGACAAGGACGCCGGCGTGCTCTTGTCCTTGAACGGGAAGTGGGTCAGCTGGCTACACACAGCGATGGCATACTGTAGGTCCATGGCCTCTATCTGCTCCTCCCCAATTCCTCGTTTGCGCATCACGCGGCGCATGGGCTGACCAAAGTCGGGACTCTCCCCGCCTCCCAGCTGCCTTCCTTCTCGCCCTCGCCGTCGGCCTGTACCTCCATTACCACAAGATCGTCCAGAATGAGTGGTACGGCTATCCGGAAGAGTGGTTCCCATCGGTCTCGGCCACCATCGGCGACCGCTACCCCGAGCGCTCCGTCTTCATGCTCCTCATCGCTCTGACGTCGGGCCCCCGCTTCGCCCTCGTCGGCCTCTGGTACCTCCTCACGCGCGCGCGCGGCGGCGCCCTGGCCAAGTTCGTCGGCTTGATGGGCGTGGTCCGCACCCTGACCTGCGGCGGCTGGACATACGTCACGTCGACTGACGACCACGACTGGCACGACATCCTCATGATCTCGTACATCGTCTGCACCATCCCCTGGACCGCCGGCTGCATCGCCCTCAGCCCGCCCAACCCCAAGGCGATCAGGTACCGCAAGTACTTTTGCTTCGGCTTCTTCGGCACGCTCGTGCCGCTGGTATACTTCTTCATCCAGCACAAGGTGCACAGGGTAGCTGGCGGTAAGTGGCTCCTGAACACGCTGCTTCTCTGGTAATGGGTGGCGCGGCCATGGATGCTGACTTGTGGACGCCTGCAGCATACACCATATACGCCTTCTTCGAGTGGTCCCTGATTCTGTTTGACGTGGCGTTTGACGCCGTGACTGCCCTGGACTTTGATGGCTTTGAGGTGGTCGTCAAGGATGTGAAGGGGGCAAGCCAGGGGTATGTGAATTGGCTTCCCTCGTAGAGCGCATGATGCAAATGAGCCTGCACGACAGTGTATTTGGTCTTGCTCAATACAACGAAGAGTCTTCTGGGATCCGTTCTAAAGCAAATGTGGATTTTCGACAGTGCGACCTCTTCCCTGCCGTCTGCCGTCGTTGAAAAGGAGTAAGTGGCCCTAGCTGTCATTGAGTGTGGCACAATGCTGTTCCAATGTTATGTCCAACCCTGGCCGAGATCTTGTCTAACCCCTAGCGTGCAGGAAAGAAAAGGCCGCCGCCACCGCAACGAACACCAAAGTTACTCCCTCAGATATCATGGATATCGCGGCAGATGTCTACCACGGAGTTGGTTGCCCTCAGTCCAAAGCATTCCACAAGCAGAATGAGCATTTCTAACCTGAGCCACATCAACAGTTCGTCTTTTGGTCCGTCCTGACCAGCCTAGGTGCTGTCGTTTGGTGTAAGCGCCCCGTAAGCATCGACCTGCGTCGTCTTGGTAGACTAACTGTTGGTAGACTTCCCGCTCTGGTTTATGGGCATTTCCGGCTTCGAGGCCTTTGTCATGTGCACCATCGCCCCCATGTTCCTGGGTATTGGCCCCTTGAAGAGGCTTGTTATCCGCAATCAGCGTTTCTTCCACCTTATATCCCTGACGGGCCTGCTGGCATTCCTCGTCAAGGACCCCATCCAACGTCTCTGCACCGTCGGCGCCGGCCTCGCGCTCCAGTGCCTGTCATGGGTCGCCACGCTTCACTCGGAGTCGGTCCATGAGGGCCGCCTGGAGCTCCGTGTTCTCTCATGGCTTGTCGGCCTGGTCCTCTCGAGCGTTGTCAAGTTCGCCAACCACACGCTTAACCCGATCTGGCCCATCATGCATGCCCCCAGCGGTGGATGGAACTACACCGGCCTGGTTTTTGGGCTCTGGGGCGCTTTGCGCTACAGCCGCAAGGGCCCGCTTAACACCACCGGGGCGCAGATCAAGACTGGCTCCAACTTCCTCGCGGCTTGCGGCATCGGCGGCCTGTTCTTCGCTCTGCACTCACTGCTTTCTGACACGAGCACCATGATCCTCTGGGTCTGGGACGGATACCCGATCCGCGGTCCGACCTCCAACACATCGGCCTACTACACCATCTTCGCCATGACTGCCGGCATCCTGATCGGTACATACCGGCCAGGCGTGGCCAGCCTTTGGACGGCCTATGGCGCGGGCTGCTTCGGCGCAGCCATTCTCACTACGCGTCACCACTGGAATGGATACTATGGCGCGCTCGGTCTCGCGACGTACCTGATGGCCGTCGCCGTTCCGCTGCTCAAGGACGCGGCCAAGCGCTCGCCGGGCCTGACCTTTGGACTTGGCTTCTTCATCTACAACTTCATGGTGCTCTTCCATGTCTGGGTCGTCGCATATGCATTTGTCCCCGGCGGCCCCCTGGTGCGCGAGCACACGGACTGGGTCATGGCCACGATGATGATCCTCATCGGCTGCGGTGTCTTCAACCTCAACGCGGCCAAGACACCCAAGAAAACTGGCGTGCAGGCGCAGAAGCCGTCTCGTGCCATTGTGCAACACCGCAAGCACTACGCCAGCGTCCTCGGGGCGCTCAACGTACTCTTCCTTGTGGCGTCGTACTTCCGGTTCCCCACCAACGACTACAAGCCCTACCACGGGTCGGACAGGGTGCTGACGGCTGGCATCTGGACCATCCACTTCGGGCTCGACAACGACATGTGGAGCTCGGAGCGGCGAATGCGCGACCTCATCCGGGACGCGGAGCTCGACGTGGTTGGCCTCCTCGAGTCGGACCAGCAGCGCATCATCATGGGCAACCGCGACTCGACGCAGTTCATCGCCGAGGACCTGGGCATGTACGTCGACTACGGCCCGGGCCCCAACAAGCACACATGGGGCGTGGCACTGCTGTCCAAGTACCCCATCGTCAACTCGACGCACCACCTGCTGCCCAGCCCCGTGGGCGAGCTGGCGCCGGCGATCCATGCGACGATCGACGTGTTCGGGACGCTGGTCGACATCTTTGTGTTCCACTCGGGCCAGGAGGAGGATCCGGAAGACCGGCGGCAGCAGTCCATCTACATGCGCGACCTCATGGGGTCGTCCAGCCGGCCGTCGGTGCTCCTCAGCTACCTGGTGACGCGGCCGCTTGAGGGCAACTATAACACATACGTGAGCGAGGGCTCCGGCATGCACGATATTGACTCGAGCGACTGGGACCGATGGTGCGAGTACATCCTCTTCAAGGGCCTGCGGCGCGTGGGGTACGCGCGCGTGAGCCGCGGCACCATCACGGACACGGAGCTGCAGGTGGGCAAGTTTGTCGTGCCCGAGTCCGGCTCGCTCGACGCGGCGAGGGCGTGGGAGATCGACGCCGACACGAGGAACTCTCGGGTCGAGGAGGAGCAGCTGCCCGAGGGCTGGCGGTTCCCGGCCCTGTTCCGCGGCGAGGGTGTCCGCGGGCACCGCTACCACGTTTTCGACGAGCCAAGGTACTATAACTACTAGAGCACGAGATGGGGCGCGGTGTGTAAAAGGGTGAAATCTGTGTCTATCATATCTTGCCAAGACGGGATGCCGGATTTTATTTCCTGCTTATGTGTACGCGAGCTGATATGTCGGGTGTGGTGGTTTGAAGTGCGCGTGGAGTGGGATGATGCAAGCTGTACGATAAGCCGCTGAGCGGGCGAGTAAAAAATAAGATTCCTTTGTTGCAACCATACATCATATTCTGTGCACGTGGCTCCGACTCGGCAGTGTGAGTGGAGAAGCATTCAAGGACGGTCGCCGAGACGAGGCGGGCCGATGATTTCCTTGCCCTCCCTCCCAAGGCCGAAAGGCCGGCTAACGGGATGATTTCCGCGGGAGGAACTGGGGGCGTCCAGAAAAAACCCGGCAATGCAGAAGCAAGGATCCCACGGTCCCAGCTTGCATCCCATCGCTGGCTGAGCTCCTTTTCCGCGTTGCTAGTTTGGGCTGTCCAATCTGATCAACATCAAAACCAATCCCCAACGTAATTGGCCCCACCGAGAAGGTGGGCAGGGGGGGTCGGCGGAACACATGACGAACAAGCGCTGAGAAGGTGTGTTTCCCGATCTGGAATGTGACGACAGCATTCACTCAAACAAAGAAATGCCCCGACGCTGCAGTTTCGGCTTTGGTAGGAATAAGGCACCAGGTGGAGCCGGGCCAGGCTTTGCATGCGGGGGAGCCGTTGGGTGCTTTGTTGGCTGTCGGTGAGGGCACACAACAAAACAGCAGCCAGAGCTGCTATATCGAGAACAGTCGGGCCTGATGGCCACCCAGGGCGTCTCGAGTAGCCGCATCGCAGTGCTGACCATTAGTCCTCCTTATCCTTGACCATGCATCAACGTTCGTCCATGTTTTTGTCTGGAGCGTCAGAGCGCATCAAAGCCGTGCGGCCAGCCACCGCTGTCGAAACTCTTTCCCCATTGGGGACCCCACCTTCCCCAGGCGGGCTGCTGTTTTGTTGTGCCGCGTCAAGCCGAGACTGGCTGGGTAAGACGCCCTCGATACGTCTAAATGCGCCCAAGTTCCTCTCGCTTTCCGCTACTGTCAGACATCTTCCGCAGTAGCCTCCGTTGTTTCCCCGTTATCTTTTCTTTGCAGGCCAACCCCAATTCTTTTCTGCTTTTTGTTTCTCCAACTTTTTCTCCCTGGCCTAGTAGCTGTCTCCAAGATACAGCGACCGTACAGGCCTCGCACGAAGCAATGACAGCGTTTACCTCGGGCCATATACTGGCCTGGCTCGGCATATTTGCCGCTGCCGGCGTCGCCTATGTAAGCCAACGCGCTACGGGAGGCAGTCGTGAGACACAAAGGAGAAGACAAGACCAGTCGCTAACAGGAGCCGCCCCCAGGTATCATGCGTTGTCGTGTATAGACTCTGGTTTCACCCGCTAGCAAAATACCCAGGTCCTTTTCTGGCGCGGATATCCAACTTGCACCAGCTTTACCACGCCTACAAGGGCGACCGGCACCTGGAGTTTTGGAGACTGCATGAGAAATATGGTACGGAGCCCTGGAAGCTCCAATGGGGAAGATCAAAAAGTCCAATGCTGACATCAAGCATCGCACCCAAAAAGGCCGCGTTGTCCGGTTCGGGCCCAACAGCGTGTCCATCAACAGCGCCGCGGCCCTCAAGGACGTCTACGGGTTCCGGGCCAACGTGCGCAAGGCCGAGTTCTACGACGCCTTTGTGCACCCGACGCCCAACACGCACAACTCGCGCGACAAGGAGATGCACGCGCGCAAGCGCCGCGTGCTCTCGCACGCCTTCTCCGACTCGGCCATGAAGGAGATGGAGCGCTACATCCTGGCCAACGAGCGCCAGTTCTGCGCCGAGATCGGGCGTGGCGCCACGGCCGAGTCCAAGGGCTGGACGGGGCCCAAGAACATGGCCGACTGGTGCAACTGGCTCGCCATGGACATACTGGGCGACCTGGCCTTCGGCAAGGCCTTCCACATGCTCGAGCGCGACGACAACCGCTTCGCCATGGACCTGGTCGGCGGCGCCGCCCGCCGCCACCTCATCTGCGGCACCATGCCCGTGCTCGACCGCCTCAACCTCGACAAGTGGCTGTTCCCGTCCGTCGCCGCCGGCCGCGCCCGCTACATGGTCTACAGCCGCGCCCAGCTGGCCGAGCGCACCAAGCTCGGCGACGAGACGGACCGCCGCGACTTCTTCTACTACCTCCTCCGCGCCCGCGATCCCGAGACTGGCCTGGGGTTCGCGCAGGGGGAGCTGTGGTCCGAGTCGAACCTGCTGTAAGTAGCACTTGGGGGAGAAAAAAAAACCATGGGCACTCTATTATACTCTATACTCACACCCCACAAAACAACAGCATCATCGCCGGCTCCGACACCACATCGACCGCCATGGCCGCCACGCTCTTCTACCTGGTCCGCAACCCGGCCGCCCTGGCGCGCGCCGCCGCCGAGGTGCGCGGCACCTTCTCCAGCGTCGAGGACATCCGGCAGGGCGCGCAGCTCGCGTCACTGCCGTACCTGCGCGCCTGCATCGACGAGGCCATGCGGCTGTCGCCCTCGGTCGGCGGCCTGCTGCCGCGCGAGGTGCTCGCGGGGGGCGCCGTCGTCGACGGCGAGCGCCTGCCGCGGGGCACCGTCGTCGGCACCCCGCACTACGCCGTCCACCACAACCCGGACTACTACCCGGAGCCGTTTTCGTACCTGCCCGAGCGCTGGATCGCCGGCTCGCCGCGCGTCCGTGGCGGGGGGTTGGTGGCCGAGGCCGACGTGGCCGCGGCCCAGAGCGCCTTTTGCCCCTTCAGCATCGGGCCCCGCGGCTGCATCGGCAAGGGGCTGGCCTACGTCGAGATGACGACGACGCTGGCCCGCGTGCTCTTCACGTACGACATGCGCCGCCCCGTCGGCGTGCAGGACCCGTCCGAGGGCGGCGCGCCCGGCGCCGAGTACGGCCGCCACCGCATCGGCGAGTTCCAGCTCTTTGACACCTTTACCAGCCTCAAGGAGGGGCCGCTAGTGGAGTTTAGGGAGCGTGAGGGGCTGTAAGGGCAGGGGATTAGGGTCTGAATCTTTTGTTTTGGCCAGATACAGAGCTTTGATTTGAACATGAAGGCTGTCAAGTATGCTGACATGGCACTGGGGATCTGTGGCTATGTCCTGTAGATATCTCCAGTACATGACTTGTTCGTGTTGCAATGGCCGGGGGAGTATGTAGACTCCAGAGTACTGACGACCTCCTTCTTACTTTACCCGCCAGTGTTTAAATGCACTCTCGATTCAAAGTGGTTCGAATGATTTCATTTTTTTCGCGCTATCTTTGATCGGAGCCGCAACGGAAGTACCGGTCGACGAGCAGTCGAGTACAGGCCTTTCGAGGTACCTGGCCTGACCACCCCTACTGCTCTCATGCCATATTACTTCCCCCTTCTTACTCCTCATTCTCTGGAATGAAAACCGTCAACTCCTTAATAGGTGCTGGATAAAACTCCCCCTCTGGCAGCCTAGCGCTCTCCCTCTTCCCGAACCACTCGGCGAACCTCCGCAGGCTGGGTAGCTCCTCGCCGGCCGGCCCCGAGCAGAGGTCGACGTCGTACAAACCCCTGGCGAAAGAAATCAGCGAGAAGACGACGCAGTCCACAATGGTGACGCCCCTCCCGCCCCGCTCCAGCAGCGGCAGCTCGTCGTCGGCGTAGTACGGCTCGAGCAGCCCCATGGCCTTGCGGCAGTACTCCATGGCCAGGCGCGCGGCCTTTGGGTCCGTCTCCTCGGCGCCAACGAAGACGCGGGCGCCCTTGTGCGCGGCCAGGCCGAAGTGGCTGTTGGCCTCGTCGGCCAGCGCCAGGATCTCGCGGGCGCGGGCGCGGCGCGCCGCTGTGTCGCCGCCGCGCATGCTCCCCGTCACAGTGGTGGCGGCGGCGGCGGCGGCGGCGAGGTCGGCCTGCCACGGCTGAGACGGGTCCGGGGCGTCGCAGACGTCCTCGATGTACTCGAGGATGGCGACCGACTGCTTGACAAAGGTCCCGTCCGGAAGGCGGAGCACGGGAACGGAGCCCGGCGGCTTGCCCGGCGCGCTCATCTGGTTGGCGACGTCCACCTGGGTGATCTTGATGTGGGGGTGGCCGGCCAGGCCCTTCTCGGCGAGGTAGAGGAGGACGCGTCGGGGGTAGACGCCCCAGGGGAAGACGAAGAGCTCGAGAGGGGCTGTCATTGTTGACGAGGGCTACAGTTGATTGGTGTGAGGATGTCGAAGTTGGATGTATTTCGATCATTGCAGGCTACAAAACCCAAGATAGCACATCCTGCTGTCGCTCTTCCTTATATGTAATCTTTTCATACGTATAAGACGGCGCCTTTTCGGCCACATCGCAACGCTATGTTCTCGGACACTTCTTGGATGATTTCCGCTGGTGTTCTGGAGACTTTTCGGGGAGATATCCTCAGGATGGCACCATGCGTTTTATTTACATCAAGAAACGTAGGAGCCAGATATGTGGCGACAGTCAGGGCCCGGCCTTGCGAGCGCCGCTTTTCTCCCTCGCTTTGGGATGGCATCTCGTGATGGCCAATCTGACCCAATTCGAGTGCCACTTACATACCTGGCAACAATTTTTTTTTGGAACAATCTGTTTTCAGGAGAAATATGGAAGGATACCGAATAGAAGGTTCAAGAAAGCAACACAGATGGTGGAACAGCAAAAAGATTGGCGGTTAGAAAACAGATACGGTCCAGAGGAGCATATGTAGGTTGGCACCCGCGCCGGGACAGCCTTCTTGGCCTACCTCTGGATTTTTGTCTGCCTTCCTGCGAAGGGGGCAAAAGGAAGACGATGACGAGTATCAGTGATGGGGGCGTCGACAATGTTGCAGTGGAACGGGTCGGGAAGGCCGCAAACCCAAACAACATGCCAGACCCGACGGGAGGACGCCCCTGGCTACGTCGTATCAGCATGGCGCCTGATTGGCGCCCAACATGACGGATAAACAGGATGGCTTTTGGACAATATGGTAAAGAGGCCGTTAATTGACCGGCTCGACATGTGCTTGTCACCTTGGCATATTGGTTGCATGTCAAGCACATGGGGGTGAGCTTGGCAATCTAGATAGCGGGGGAATCGTCTGGTCTGGTGCTGTCGAGTGGATTCTCCAGCGGCCTCATCCGAGTGCAGGTCCAGTGTCAGGTCCAGTGCCGCCACTGCGGGGGAGGAGGGCGGGGCTGTTGATTGCGCCTCTTCAGGGCCGTCATGCGGGGAAACATGAGCGCAACGTTCGCCCGAGAGCGGGGAGTCAGGGGTTGCATCCAGGAACAGCCGTCAGCCGTCATTTCGCTCGCGCCACATGACCGACACCCAGGCCGGCTCGCTTGAGAGCCGACACCCCAGAGAAAAAGTACCGACAACGCTGGCCCGAAACGGCAGGAGACAAGCCGACTCGCCCGTTCGGTCGACTAGCGCACGAGCCCAGCCATGGGGATTCGCCGTGGGGATATCGGAGCCGGGGGGAAAGGCCTGGACACAACTGCTCTGCAACCCAAGCCTCTCTCCCCGCCTTGCCTCCTCCACAACAAGGAGGAGGGCCGATACGGGTCCTGGGTCCTGGGTCCTTGAGCTACTCGCGCTCCAATGACGAGGCGTGCCGCCGCTTGAAAGGCTCGTTGTGACCGGGCGGCGGGTGTCACTGCGCTCCCATATAATGGAACCATAGCCGCGGCCTTTTCCCAGGCGCGTCCCTGGTCGTTCCCCTGCCATCGCGAGCTTCTCGTGACACCTGCCTAGCTTCTCAACTAGCACAATGGTCAGATTCGGTTTCAGCTTCGTGCTAGCGGCGGCGGCCGCCCTCCTCGCCGGCGTGGTCTCTGCCGCTCCGGCGTCCGAGCTCGTCCAGGGGCAGGGGGCTGCCGCGTGGCCCAACGGCCCGCTGCGCACCGACGGCCGGTGGATGAAGGACGCGTCGGGCAACACGGTCACCTACGCCGGCGCCAACTGGCCCGGCCACGGCGAGATCATGATCCCCGAGGGCCTGCAGTACCAGAGCATCAAGTACATCGTGACCAAGCTCAAGAGCGTCGGCTTCAACGCCATCCGCCTGACCTACGCCATCCAGATGATCGACGAGATCTACGACAACGGCGGCGTCGACATCCCGCTTGACAAGGCGTTTGTGCAGGGCCTCGGCCAGGCTAACGGCACCCGCCTTCTGGCGCAGTTCCTGTCCAAGAACCCGCAGTTCACTGCCAAGTCAACCCGCCTACAGGTAAGCGCGCCACCATCTATCCGAAAGCAGTCATAAAGCAGGGTCCTGACATGCCTTGGCTTCTTTTTCGAAATCAAGGTCTTCGATGCTGTCGCCGCCGAGCTGGCCAAGCAGCAGATGTACGTCCACCTCGACAACCACATTTCCACGGGCAAGTGGTGCTGCGGATCTAGCGACGACAATGCCTTCTGGGGCGACCTCGCCTTCCATCCCGGCAACTGGACCCGCGGCCTGGCCTACATGGCGGCCCACGGAAAGGCCTGGCCTGCGCTGATGAGCTCGGCGCTGCGCAACGAGCCCCGCGAGCCGTCGTCGGGCCCTGCCAAGGCCAACTACAACTGGGAGACGCTCTACAAGTACGCCAAGCAGGGCGCCGCCGCCATCAACAAGGCCAACCCGAACCTCCTCATCTTCATCTCCGGGCTCAACTACGACACCTTCGTGACGCCCATCGTGCGCGGCCAGGCGCTCTCGCCGGGCCAGACGCGCTTCGCTCGGAGCGACTTTGCCGGCTTCGAGAACAAGCTGGTGCTCGAGATCCACAACTACGACAACAACCAGGGCAGCTGCTCGGCGCTCCGGAACAACCTGTACAACAACGGGTTCGAGGCGCACAGCGACTCGGCCGTCAACAAGTTCCCGGTCTTGCTGACCGAGTACGGCTTCGCCATGGACGCGACGACGTGGCAGCGCGTCTACGCCACCTGCATCGCGCAATTCACGGCCGACAACAAGGCCGGCTTCTTCATCTGGGTCATCGTCGGCAGCTACTACACCCGCTCGGGCACCCAGGACTTCGACGAGGCCTGGGGCGTGCTGAACCACGACTGGTCCGACTGGCGCAATCCGTCGTATGTCCAGAACCAGCTGATCCCGCAGATCCGGGGAACGCTGTCCCAGTGAGGCCCCGATTGTGGCTTGCATCACTGTTGGATCATGTAAGAGTGTTGCTTTGGCCGATATTGAGAGCCGACTATGATTTCATGTCCATAGCCTATGTAGTGTATGTAGTATGAGAGAATGTGAGGCTTGTGTCGCATCAATCAAGCTTGAAGAGAGTAATCTTCTATGAGAAGCGTGACAAACCAAAGGTGACGCTTTGGGCAGCGTTGAAAGCGGAAAACGGCGAGTGGGTCCCAACGGTACAATAACGCCCAACGCATATCGTGTGTTATCCGTTATCTGCATTAGACATGCTATTTTATGCAAACGGGCCCATCCGCTCCACCCAACCTTTGCTCTTCTCGTTTTCTTGCGAGGCTGGCAAAGCCGACGAAACGCGACCGAATCCGGTGAAATCGAAAGTTCAGTCTTCTTTTGTCGACGAGTAGCGCCCGAGATACCCAACCGCCTCGACTCCGGCACACACCGCTGAAGCTAGTAAACCCTCGACGTCTTCTAGACAACCCACGATCCGCTTTACCGCACACGTCCCATCAGAGACGGTCATTTGCGCCTCTTCGCCCACATCTGGTGCTGCGGCGCATCGGAACCAGGGCCCTCTGCCTACCATGGCCATTTGCAGGTTCTTCCAGCAGGGCAATTGTCGGTATGGCAGTACGTGCTCCGCCCAGACAGATCCCAGATCCCTCCGAAGAGCGATGAAGAGGCCGGAGAGCGGACCGAGGTGCTAACGAGGGGACGGCAGATTCTTGCAAATACGAGCACCCAAACCCGAACAACAACCGCTTCGGAGCCTTTGGCGGCGGCGGCGGTAATGGCGGCTTCAACAACAACGGCAACAACAACAATAATAATAATAACAGCAACAACCGTCCCAAAGGTGCGTTCAGGCCATTGGCACAGCTTGGTGTTCTGCGCCGATAATCTCATTCAATATCCAAAACAGCCACGCCTCATCCGCGCAGCGCCTGCCCGGCCCCGTCCTAACAAACCGATCCAGACATACCCTTCTCCCTGAGCAAGGACATCATCCAGATCGACCTGACGACCGACCGACCGCAATGGATCCTGTCCGCATACGGCCCCGGCCGTGACGCCCCGGAGCAGCTCTTCGGGGGCTTCCCGCGCGAGCAGAGCTTCGAGGAGGTCCGGCTCATGTACGAGGAGGGGCTGGCGATGGGGAACCCACAAGCAGCGGTATGGCGCGCATCGATCCCCTCCCCCTCGCAAAGGACTCGACCCTGTGGCGATCAAGCCACCTCATCGCGCTTCCAGCTGACCCTGATGTTGTCTCCCGCCTTTTAGCTCTCCCAGATCGAGAGCGTATACAGGGAAGCCGACAGCCAGATGCAGAACGCGCTGAGCAACCTCGACGGCGCGATGCAGTACATAATAGACGCCCAAAACAAGAACCCGAACCGCATGAGCCTGGTGCAGAACAACACGAGCGGCGTCTTCGCCGTCGGACAGCAGCAGCAGCAGGCCAGCCCGTTTGGCCAGCCGGCGGCCGGGTTCGGCGCGCCTTCGGCCGGCGCATTCGGCGCACCGTCGGCCACGCCTGCTGCTGGCGGTGGGTTCGGTCAACCGTCGACACTGGGCCAGAAACCCAGCGCGTTTGGGACTCCCGCCTTTGGGCAAGCCGCACAGCCCTCCGCCGGTGGTGGTGGTGGTGGTGGTGGTGGTGGTTTCGGTCAGCCGTCGGCGTTGGGCCAGAAGCCCAGCGCGTTCGGCACGCCCACGTTCGGCCAGAGCGCGCAGCCCGCGGGGGGCGCGTTTGGGCAGGCCGCGAAGCCCGGTGGGTTTGGCCAGCCGGCATTCGGGCAGTCGGCAGCCCCTGCGTTTGGGCAATCCAGCGCCATGGGCGCCGCACCGGGCGGGTTCGGCCAGCCGTCGGCGTTGGGCCAGAAGGCAAGCCCGTTCGGGGCCGTCGCCGCCACCAGCTCAACCCCCTTTGGCGGCAATGCTACCCCAAGTCCCTTCGCGCAGGCCGCGCAGGCCGCGCAGGCCGTGCAGACCAGTACCCCCAGTCCTTTCGGGGCAGCTGCGGCATCTACAACTGCAGGCGCAGGCGGTTTCGGGCAGCCCTCTGCGCTCGGCGGCGCGAGCGGATTCGGGCAGCCATCAGCGCTCGGTAGCTCAGCCGGGTTTGGCCAGCCTTCGGCTCTAGGCCAGAAGGCCAGCCCGTTCGGTCAAGCCCCAGCTCCCAACCCGTTTGGTCAGACGCAGCAGGCGCAAGCACTAGGCCCATTTGGAGCCCCCGCGCCGGCAGTGGACCAGTCGGTCCAGATGGGGGGAGCCACTCCAACCGCGCCCTCTACGTCAGGTTTCGGCCAGCCCCCAGCTCAAGCTGCATCCAGCAACCCGTTCGGGCAACCGACGCCGGCAGCAAACCCATTCGGCCAACCCGCCCATGCCGGTCACCCCTTTGGAGCCCCCACCGGCGGCGCGCCTCAACAGCAGCAGCCGGCTAGTGCCGCCGCAGGGCCCGGGCCCTACGCGCCCAACGCCGCGCGGCAGCACCCGCCGGCCTCGAGCTACATCACCAAACACCCGAACGGCACCCTGGCCACCTTCAAGGGCAAGACGGTCAGCATGCAGACCCCGCGAGAAGGGAGCTCCGCGACCAAGCCGTTCCCGATCACGCGCGGCTACGGCGGCCCGGCCACGCGCGTGTGGAATCCCGACGGCGCCCCCGCGTACTACAAGGACACCGAGGCGCCGCCCGAGGCGTACGACGCCGCGATCAAGGGCGCGTACGAATTCTTTGTCAGCACGGGCAAGTTCCACGGCGGCGTCATGCCAGAGGTGCCTCCGCTTAGGGAATGGTGCACTTGGGACTTTTGAGCGACCAGTACCCTGTTGACGCCCGTATCTCTTTTTTTTTTCCGACGACTGTGGCATCAGTTTTGGGGGGTTGACGGCGTTTGGGGTTCTTTTTCAGGCGAACAGCGCCAAGTTACGTATCTAGCAGGACTTGGGTAGAAGAAGCGCCCTATGGTCTTTGATGACATTTCGGATGAATTTACATGTTGTCTCTGCATCGATCGAGGGACATTCACGAAGCATGGGCGCGCTGAAAGGAGGGAGAATTGAGCGTCCATAAACGCAACTTTTGTCGTAACGTTATTTTTTTGGATTTTGATGTTTTTGACTGGGCACGAATATCTGAATCCTAGCTCCTAGGTCGTCCCAAGACAGTTCAAGGCCCTCTCGGAGCACACTCTCTTGGCCGCCCGCCAGGTCTAGACCGGTCCGTCTCGAAAGCCGGTCGTCGGCACACTGTCCATCCCGTCCCAGCCATGCTGTCGTCGTCACCCCGCCTAGGCGGCGATGGTGACCTCGACCTCGACGCCAGCCTCGATGTTAACGATGATCTGCTTGACGATCTCGGTCGGGGCGTTGAGGTCGATGAGGCGCTTGTGGATCCGCATCTCGAAGCAGTCCCACGTCTTGGAGCCCTCGCCGCAGGGGGTCTTGCGGGTCGTGACCTTGAGCGTCTTGGTCGGCAGGCGGACGGGGCCCTTGACGCGCAGGTCCTTGGACTTGGCGCGCTCGATGAGCTCGGTGCACACCTTCTCGAGCGACTGCACCTTGCGCGAGGTGAGGGTGATGCGGATCTTGTGCGTCTTCTGTTGATAGGGGGAGAAGAGGGTTGGCGGTTAGCAGGGAGCAAGGAGGGAGCGTGCCAGAAGCATTTTGGTGGAAGCTGTTGCGACGGAGGGGGGGATGAGGAGGGTAACATACGGGCGCCTCGCCGCCGATGTCCTTGTCCTTGTTGTACGACATCTTGACTGGGTTTTTTTTTGTAGAGGTTGGCGAATAATTTCCCACGACTCGGACTGTTTCTGTCTCGGCAAAGTGATGGGAATGGTCGCTGAAAGGGAGGTTGACGATGTGTCGGTTTTTTTTCTCTGGATGGATCAAGCAAACGTCAAAAAACCACCAGCGCCCAAAATTGTGGGCGTCCTTTTTTGCGCGGGGCGGGTAGGGCTCAGCGGAGGTCCCTTTGCGATTGGCGCTAGTACCCTATTGGGACTAGCGTTGCCTGGCTCGAGATGAGTTCATTGTGAGTGGCTCACTGACTCAGGCGGCGGAGGTTGAGGGACGCCATCTGCAGCCTACTTCAGGCAATTCCTCTTACAAGAAGAAGCAGAGATGCAGGTTAAAGCAGGCGTTCAGTTGGTCTTTTTTCTCTCTCTTCTGTCATTCTTGCGTCAAGGGTCGCGAGTCGTGGTGATAGCTCCTTAGATCCTGTTCTAGCCACCAAAAGGAGGGGCACCAACACAAGAGTCTCTGCCAGAAGCTGCATATCAACATCTCTCACCAGGCCCGAAAATGGCCTCGCCGGTGCCAGCCTTGCCGCCCTTTGCGCCATTTCTGACGGCGGATCTGCGGGCGCAAATCCAGCCGGACGAATGGTCCGCCTGCACGACAGCATGGGCATCGCTTGTTGAGGCGCACCTGGCCCTCCCGGACCCGGAGTTTGCCAAGTGCTCGCTCGCCGACGACTCCATCCCCGCATTCCTCTCCGCATTCTCGGAAGAGGTTGCCTCCGCCGGGCCCGCCATCCTCGGCGCCGCGGCGGGTGTGCAGGTGCCCCTGCGCAGGGTCGTCTTCGACCTCACCAGACGCCTGCTGCTCTCCCCTACCACTTCCAGGAACGCCATCGCCACTGCGGTCCAGCCGCTCCTGCGGTGGGAGTTCTTCGCGGACCTGTGTCGCGTGCACAGCAAAGGCCTCGTCGTCGACCTGCTCGCCGCCCTCCCGGCGGCCCACCGCGCCGCGCTCGACTCATCCCTCACGGCCCTCAAGAAGTCCCTTGTCCCGGACCTAGAGGCCGGGCTCGCCAACCCGCCCCAGAAGCTGCGCGAGCTCGAGGGCCGGCTCGACAGGCTCAACTTCCTCCTCGCCCGCTCCCCGCCCGCCGGCGTCTTCTTCCTGGCCGGGAGCGACTTCCTCGACGGGCTTGTCTCGTGCTTCCGGCCCACGAACCCGCCGCTGCGCCGCGTCCTCGTCGCCACCACGTACTTGTGCGTCGTTGGCTTCGCCGATGCCGGGTCCGGGCCGGCGGCGGGCGTCAGCGGCAGCTACGGCCCGCTGACAGACCAGCTCTACGCGCTCAAGGCGGCCGCGGACGCGCACCGCGCCGGGCCGACCACGGCCGACGACTCGCTCGTGGCCGAGCTCGTGACGTCGACGCCGCTCGTCGGGCACCTGGAGCGCCAGCTCGGGAGGAACGAGTCGGTGCCCGCCGCCGGCCGGGCCAGGGCCGTGCTCAGGGAGCTCGCCGGGTTCAGGAGGCCCGGCGTCGGCCTGAGGCAGCCGGCGGCGCGGCGGCTGGTGCGGAAGAAGGTCGACAAGGGCAAGGGGGTCGCGTTGGACCTCGGCGTGCCCTCGACCGAGATGCACATCCATCGCATGCAGCAGATCACACAGGTGCAGGATCTGTTCCCCGAGCTCGGCTCCGGCTTTGTGGCCAAGCTCCTGGACGAGTACGGAGAGGATCAGGAACAGGTGGTTGCGCACCTGTTGGACGACTCACTACCCGATCACCTACAGGGCGCCGATCGGAGCGAAGAGCTGTAAGTTATTGCATCTCCTCACCGTGTATCGGCTTGGTCTATCCCTTTCCAGATTGTGGGCTGCCTTGCTAACCTAGATATTCCCCAAAGCGTCTCGAATACTGGGCATCGAAAGCCATCCATCACTAAATCCATGGCCCCAAGGGCGACGCCGCCTCTCAGGCCGACCCAAGTACCAACTCGGCACAGCATCTTCGACAATGACGAGCTGGACAGCTTGACCGTCGACGCGACAAAACTCCACCTCGGAAAGCAAAATCCAGGCCGCACCGCAGACGATATCCTCAAGGACCGGTCAGGAGCCCCCAACAAGGCCGCCATCCTGTCGGCCCTCGCCACCTTCGACCTGGACGACGACGAGCGCGACGACACGTACGACGCCGAGGACGTCGGCGGCACCGTGGACGCGGCGGGCGGGGCCGAGGACGACATTGGCGGCGCGACCGAGGAGGCCCTCTACAAGGCCTGGCAGGCGGACCCGGGCATCTTCGCGAGGGAGCCCGCGGCGCGCAGGGGACCCTCCCGGGCCAGGCTCCGCATGGAGACGGGCATGACGGACGAGGCGGTCGAGGGCTGGGGCCTGATGCTGTCGCGCGACCCCAAGCAGCAGCGCAAGCTCGAGGCCAGGTACGCCTTCACGGGCGCGCAGGCTGAGCTGGAGTCGACGGCGTGGCGCGCGAGCCCCGGCAGCGGTTCCGGCGCGGAGGACTCGGAGGGCGGCGGCAGCTCCTCGTTCCGCGGGCGTGGCAGGGGCCGCGGTCGTGGAAGAGGCGGCGGTCGCGGTGGCGGCGGCGGCGGCAACGTCGCTGGGCCGACGGGTGAGAAGGAGACGGAGCAGGCCAGGAGGCGCAAGGAGGCGAGCAAGAGCTCCCGGGCCAACCACAACCGGCGGGACCAGCGGGCGCGCAAGATGGCGCGCGGTGGGCTGCCGGGATGAGTTTGGAGGGAGTGGGGGCTTCACGGTCGCGGTCGCTTGTGCATGCAATATTGTCACTGACGGGGGTTCCAACGGCCCTGGCACTCTACTGGGTACGTACTATCTAGAGCAGGACGGCTACGTAGAGACATGGTTTCACCGTGAATAACCTACACACGGCATATCACGGTGTACCCTCTCAAGCCGATTTAATTCAACAAATAGTCTGAAAAAGGGCTTCGGATGAGGTAACTCTATTATCGAGCAACTGCGTGGAAAGAACTTCTGCAATCCCTACTCATCTAATGTGCCTGCTGAATTAAACCGGCTTAGGAGGGTGTTATTGTCAATGGGGTGCACAATCCCCCCCAGTCCATAGGAGCTGCCAAGAAGCAGCGGAGAATTCAGACCAAGAATCCGGTATTTAATAGCCCGCCGCTTGGACCTCGGAGCATTGACACGCCCTCTCCACAGATCTCCAGCAAGCCAAAGCCTCCGCTGCAGGCTGGCGGCGTGCCTTGGCATGCCGATCACGACCCGAGACGAAAATACTCGTACCGGTCCAGCCGAAGGAGCGCGAGCACGAGCGGAGGTGGACGCGAGGCCAGGCGCGAGGGGATGGGATGAGATGGGATGAGATGATGTTGGGTTCAAAACTTGGGGAGGTCGCGGGCCCGTCAGCAGTCAAAAACTTGCCATAACTCGAAAAGAGATAAGTCAGGGGCGACTGCGAAACAAACCAACTCGACGCCAGCGTCGAGATTGGGCGTCACGGTATTATCTCGAAAGGAAGAGATTCTGATCCAAGCCCATTTGCGATTAGTGAGGGGCCCGTGAAAGCCCTGCATTGGGGGAGCAAGGGGAACCGGAGCACACCCTCCCCAGCTCCGTCGATTTCAATGTTTAAAGAAATAAAAACTACTTATCTTTGCGAACGATCGAAAAGATATTATTTTGCGTTAAAATGCTATCTAAAATGCTATCGAGTTGCTTGCAGTTGTGGACGAAGCTGGTCAAATAAATCTGGCAGCCTGAGGCCCGATTTTCTACCATTTGGTGTATCAATTAATTCGGAATGCGCGGGTATCACGAGATAGTTTTGTGGGAGGAGCTAGTCCCAAAGGGGTTGGATCCAAAACGATCCTTTGGAGATCATACAGCTCGCACAGACCCGGAGGCAAATGCGCATGTTGTCGGCCGGTGCGACTATGCCGTGGCTTCCGGGTGACCAGACAAGGCACTCTGTCGAGGCCAGAGAACATTGGTGACAAATTGTCGGAGGTGCAACCCGTCGGATTAAGGGAAAGCCGGCAAAGGAAGCCAACGATCCCAGGACTAAATACTAGCGTTTGTGGGTGTGTCATGTGACCCACGGGTCATGTCATGTGACACCACCTCGCACACAAATCAAAATCGACTGCATTGGTATCATCACGTATCCTTACTCCTTACACGGACCACCTGGTCATACCATGTCCTTGACGCTCCTCCTCTGGTAGGCGTCCTCGACGGCGACCGACACCTCGAGCGTCCTCGTGATCCTCCCGGGCCGCAGGTAGTCCTCGTCGCCTGGCCTCTGTATGATGATGCCGCTGCTCTCCCCGGACGACCTGCCGCTGCGGGCCCCGTCGTCGTCATCGCTAGCCCCTATCGCCGTGCCGATGGCCGTGGCGCTGTGCGCGTCCCCGTCCAGGACGCCCGCCGTCGACACCGACCGCCGAAGCCCGGTGGGGGCGGCGACGGGCGACGGGAACGCGACGGCGTGAGACTCGAACCGTGCCGCCGGCCCGGCCCCCGGGCCGGGCGTCATCTCAAAGACGCTGCTGCCGAGCCTGCCGCTAGCCATGTCGTCGTCGTTGTCGATGTCGCCGCCGCTGTAGGGCGCGAAGGTGCTCATGTGCTTGCTGGCCCGCGGCGGCATCTTGCTGCTCCGTGCCGCCGCCGCCGCCGCCGCCGCCGTGGGAGCCCTGCTGACCTTGCTGACCTTGCTGCCCGCGTTGGCAGTGCCGCCGCCCCTCGACTTGGAGTTGGCGCCATACCCGCTGCCGCCGTAGGCGTACCTCCTGGCCCACGTGCTAGCTAGGATCTTCTTGAACAGCGGCTTTAGGCTGGGGATGGACCCCGCGATGATGGCGACGGCGATCTCGGTGGTGTACCTGGAAGGGGGTGGGCATTAGTATGGGGACTTTGTTTGCGTGATGACGAGCGAAAACCTACCAGATGGTGATGTCCACGCTATCCCACATGAAATCGCCCTCTTTCCCCAGATTCGCGATGAACATGGTCTTGACAATACCCGCGACGGTGGTGCTGTTTCCAGGCCAGACCTTTGTTAGTAAACGAGGCTTCCTTGCAACCGCGAGAGGTTGGTGTGAGGCGTTGGCACGCACAATAGACCAAGCGACAGGATACCCATAATGGCCAGCTTAACCCGCCAGTTTAGCTGCACGTTCCAAAGCATCGGGATCGGCAAAACGGCAAAGATGAAGTCGGTGGCGATCCCGACAGAGAAGCCGATGTAAGCAACAGACACCATCACGTCGCCGGGGATGCACTGGCCACCGCCGGGAAGGGCCTTGTTCCAGATGAACTCCATCGGCCGACATTGAAGCATAATCTGTACTAGAAGAGTGGGGGAGGAAAGTTAGTTTCTTTCCCGCAGTGTCTTTGGTACGGCAAGCCTCGAAACAAGCCAAAGTTGACTTACGTGTTCCGACGCCAGTCGACAGCACCGTTACCCCCAAGAGAATCCAAATGAACCGGGTGTAGAACCTGGATGGAGACACTCTGACCAGGAAGGTGCCGACGCTCAGCTTGGCTATCCCCAGCGCAATCAGCGCCGTGGGCTGGGTGGCAAAGTTGATATGAAGGGCGGCGGACAGGTCCGCGGGCGGGATGTATTCCATATGGCGACCTGCGCCTTTGTATACCATGGGGACGTTTGTTACAGCCAAGCCAACCAGCATCACCTATATGATGTGTCAGTCAAGGTTGGCAACCAGTTTGGGAGGGATCGACGAACGACAGAGAGGGCCATGAGGTAGTCCTCGACGGCCATCTGGCGGATAATCTTTATCCTGACCCAGATCCTGAGGCACACGACGACGGAGGCTAGGACGGCGAGCGTGCAGCTGGCGCCGATGATTTCAGGGCCCCTGTTGTAGTTCTCGCGCTCGCCCGGCTGGAACTTGAGAGGTGGCCCCGGGGGAGGAGCCCCCTCGGGCGGCGAGCCCGTGTTGTTCATGGTCGGGCCTCTGCGGCTTGGAGTTATCGTCGAGGTTGGCGTTAGGTGAAGGGGCGAGCTAAAAGAAGGAGTGGACACGATGGGAAGGAGGTGGGCACAACCAGTCACAAGGAGACGGCCGGCCTTATTCAGGGGCCGCACATGCCCTCTTTCTTCCGGAGACGGCTCGAGAGGGACAGACAACCAAGACAAAGCACAAGAACAGCCGGCAGCTTCTTTGTATCTGTCCGGGGTGGACGCGGCGTGCTCCTCCATCCCATCCCATCCCATCCCATCCCACGACACCCGCTCGTCGCTGGACCAGGGGATTTCCTTCACATGCAGACCCACGAGGGACCCTGGACTGGTGTCGTGCTTTGATCCTCACTAGGCTACATGTGCATCACGTCCGGTGACATCCCAGGTCCATCACCATGGATCATTACTCGTGTAGGTCGGGGGTTGAGCGAGGGGATTCCCTGCGCGGCTTGAGCGCGCCGACGATCCGCCTTGCTGTATCCAGCGCCCGCCATATGCCCTAGCGTCTTCGGCTGAAGGTGTGGCCCACAATAGCGCCCACCATATACTCCAACGTCTTCGGTTGGAGGTGTGGCCCACAATAGCGCCCGCCATATGCTCTAGCGTCTTCAGCTAGAGGTGTCGCCCACAATAGCGCCCTGATCAACGCTGGTGATGGCCTCGGAGCAAGGCGGCGCTGGCGACGCTTGGAATCAAACGGCACCATCATCTCCACGTGAAGGAACATCCCTCTTTTACTCGTAGTTAGCTCCAGCATGCCAAGTTTGCGCTTGCGTCTGAGACGGCTTGACCTGCCGAGTTCCTTGCTTGGCTTCTTGATGTGGCGACGGGTATTCTCTGCCGCCCCTCCCCCCTCTTTGTTCTCTTTCTCTCCTGTCTTATTCTTTGTTGTCGCGAGAAACCCGCACTGGGCGGTGCCGACTTTGAATCCGAAGGATAGTGGACCCCATTTAAGGCTCAAGGCGTGGACGATAGAGTTCAAGGTTTGACGCGATCAATCAGCCGCGACGGGCGGGGCAAGGGGGTGGCATCATCCGGGCGCGTTAGCGGGATGGGGGATCTGTCTGGTTTGGCCGGTCTGCTCTGGTGTTGCGGGGTTGCACTGCGATGTGGTATCCTTCTCGGAATACATTCAAGGTCCGGAGTCTGTGCTGCTGTCAGTCGAGTCACGACGCTGGCTGCCTGGTGTCCTGACAATGTCATGCAGTCTCCTGTCCATTTTTTTTTTTTATTTTTTTTATTTTTAGTCAAACAACTCTCCCACTCCTTCCCCAGCTCCGAAGGGTTTATCTGTCAACGCCATCGCTACCGTCTCCGTTACCTTCCGCATTGGGCATCACCACCCAAATCTGGTCCGTCGATCTAACCTCTTTCCTTGTTCGTTTGTTGTCATGTCCCGTTGGTGGAGCACACGCCCTCCACCTAGGTACCCCGGGCTCTGGAATAGACTTTGGGCTTGACACGGGAGGTTAAATATTTTTTATTTTTTTCGTAATTCTAGAAGCAAAGGAGCCCAAGTACCGACACCTTGGACCTGGCACCGCACCTGGCTGTCAAGAAGCAACCGGTGCTCCGCGGGCCGCGCCCACAACCAACCGCGGTGGAGGCGACCCGCCTCCCATGTGCCCCCAACAGGCCACGCAATCGCACGATTCCAGCCGATACTACTCTTGTAAACCGCTACGAAATTGCAAGTGATTAGCAATATCCACCACTCCACCGTCGTCGTATACTACGACAGGGAGTATTTACTGCTAGGTCTGGTGGCTTATGCGCATAATCCGGGCTGTCGAGTGGGCAGCTCAGCTTGACCACCATCTTCTGCCTACGCATAGGTCAAGTGGTACGTACATAAATAGGGACAAAAAGCTCCCGGGGATTAAGATCTCTTAGCACACGTGTGCGACGTCGTTTGTGATGGATACCCGAGCATGGGTGGCTTCTGTGGGTACGCCAAGGACCAAGAGCAGCATCTTCACATTGGCTTTCGTGGCTTGGCCGTATCACACGTCACTATTCATTGCGTGGTAGTTGATCGATAAGCGTTAAAAAGAAGTTGTAATATTCTCATCATGCATCTGATGGTACGGGCTGATCGACTTGATGTGTGTCACAGCGTTCGAGGAGCTTGGCCACGCATCAACAGTTTCATATCTACACGTCGCCCCCCCCCGGAACCACGCGCTACCCACATATCCGGGCCGACCTACTTTCCATTTGGCTTGACGCCATAAACAACGACCTTCCCGGTGCGGATGCACACCAAGTCTTTCTCTGGAGGGGGGATTTCCTCGCCGCCCCGTTCTCGGGCACGGTCGTTGTACCATTGGCGGTGGTCCTCAGACGCGCAGGAGCTGCAGATGCAGTCGAGTATGGTGATAGTGGTGCTGCCCATTTGGAAAGAAATGATGTAAAGAAGAGAGTGGTGGTGCAGAGTTTGAGACGTGTTTCGACGGCTGTGAGTGTACTGGGGGTTTGTGCTATCGATGACGAATGTAACTCTGCTGGCCGGTAGATTCGAACCAGGTTGAAGTTCACTTTATATCTCATTTTTTTTCGTTCAAGACCAAACCAAATGATTGTGTGCTCGTTGCTCCCCATCTTGCGTTTCGGTATGGCTACCCAGCACGTTTCCTTTATCCGTGTCCATTGTCGACAGCCGTCCAAGACCGTAAGGGCTGGAACAAAGCACTGGACAATGGTCCGGACAAACGCCTTTGCCGGCAAATCGAGATAGAGAAAGGGGTGTGTCAATGAGAAGCCGTGGCCTCCATCTCTGAGCTATCGACAGTCAATGGAACCGATCGCCAACTGGAACCGGTGGACTGGTGAGCGCGGCGGGTGCACGTGACGAGCACGAGACGCTCCTCCGGATAGGGCATGCAGCGCGAGACGAAAGACGGCACTTGGCGCATACAGGAAAGCGCGACGCCGCCCAGGCGGAGATAGCTGTGGGCGGCCATACGAGTGACCGGGCCATCCCTTTGAGTGCCGTTAAACCCAAGTCGCCCGGATAGGAAGGTTGATCGGCAAAGGCACCCCTGTTTGTTGTTGTAACTCGGAGGTACGGATTTGCAGGAGCGCGGTGCGAGTATTGCAATGTACCGCTTTGTAATAATGACTTGTGCTGGTACTTTTATCACGGGCTAGATAAGGCGCAGATGGAAGCACCGAAAAAATGAACTTTTTATTGGCTCACGCACGCGAGATCAGCGGCCGGGGGTCGAACGGCACTCGAAGGGATACGCGGGCTCGCGCTTGCGGCCACGGGCTCCTTGTTAGGGCTGGGACGGCGCGGGCGTAGCGCCGCAACGGGCAGTGCAAGAAAAAAAAAAAGCAAGCTTAAAGCTTATGTGACCCGGACACCTGGTAAATTGCGCTAGCGCCGAGGGGGGCGCCCTTCTGATTGGACCACCAACCGTGGGTGGCTGGTATAGTGCAGAGAGAAAGCAAGAGGGGAGGGCGATCTAGAATCCTGGGTAACTTGGTGGTAGGGAGGCAGGCAGTCTGCAAAAATGCCTAAAAAGGAAGGGGAAAAAAAAAGAAGAAAATAATGGGGGAGACGAACAAAAGTGCCCGCGTGCAGCCGTGAGCTGCGTATTTTCGCCCCTCGCCTGCTTTCTTTTCCTTCCTGGTGCAGCGGCGTCGCCCATCACTGCCACAGCCGTAGAGGCAACCACCCAGGGTGACCCAGGTATAAAGACGGGAAATGAAAAGAAAAGATCACGAGGGGGAAAAAGACGCTGGTCTTCCGGGTTTCCTTAGCCATGAAACTGTAAGCCCATGACTGCCGCTTTTAGACAGGCGCCCCTCCCGAAGACCACGACCAAAGCCAGCCTCCTCCGAAGGCTTGCACAACAGCCACATACCTACCTACCTAGAAGGCAAAACACGCAGCGATGCAGGCGTCCCAGGGGCAGGCGTTGGACCAATCGTTGCCGCCGGCGCGCAAGAAGTCGGAGCGATCAACCACGTCCTGCGGAGAGTGCCGAAGGCGCAAACAGAAAGTAAGTTGTCCGCCTTCCCGTGTTTGTTCCAAGCTCCACGCCCGGCTCTCAGGGGGAGAGAGAGGGGAGGGGTTCGTTCGTTTGTTTAGGCCCGTCTCCTCGCAAACAACGTCAGAACCCCCCGCTCGTGGCCGCCCGCCCGCCCCCCCCTCTCAAATCTCTAACCCGCCGTGTTTGCTGCATGCAGTGCAACCAAGGGCAGCCCTGCAGCAACTGCAAGCGCCGCTTCCCGGAACCAATCTGCGACTACGGGCCCCGAAGGGGCGACGCCCCGGCCTTTGTCGCCGTCCTGGCGCCCCCGATCGCGCGACAACAACACGACAGCGACAGCAGCAGCAGCAGCAGCAGCAGCAGCAGCAGCAGGACCACACGAGCCTTGAACTCGCCGGCGACGACGACGGCGACGGGCACGGTCGCCACGAGGTGGCAGGTCGAACGCCTCCCGGGGCCGAACCGCGGCGGCGGCGGTGGCGGCCACTGGGGGCCGGGCGTCGACCCCGTCACGGGCGAGCCGACATACCACCCGAAGCCGGGCCACGGCGGCGCCGCGAGGTCCGCAGGGAAGACGGCAGCGGCGCGGGGTCAAAAGGCAAGCAGCAGCCGCGGCCTGGCGTTTGGGCTCGATGGCATCGTCTACCAGTGCCAGCTCTGCGGGCCCGTCCAGAGCATCGGCCACCTGCCCATAGCGCCAACAAAGGAGAACGCAATGCTTATATGCACGTGTAAGTCGAGAAGCCACACACGGCTTGGCTGCTCTCGGCGCCAAGCAAAAGAAAAAACAGAAAATGATCAAAAGACACCAGAAGGAGGCTGACAGTAACGGCATACTAGTCCCGGAGCTGCTGTACCGATTCAAGGGCTCCTTCGACGGCGAGCCGGACCTCGACAACCCCTTCATCACGACCTACGTGCCCTGGTGCATCCAGTCGCCGCTGCTGGCGCGCACCAGCCTCTACATCTCGGCGCGGTCCCTGGCCGAGCGCGGCTTCATCGACCTGAGCTCGACGATGCGGGCCAAGGGCGAGGCCATCTCGGCCCTCAACGAGCACCTCCGGTCCGAGCAGCGCTGGATCGGGGACGAGGTCATGGCGGGCGTGGTGCAGTTCGTCTCCATCGAGTGGTTCTTTGGCGAGCCCGAGGTGGTGCGGGCGCACCTCCTGGGCCTGCGCGAGATGGTGCGCCTGCGCGGCGGCTTCCCGTCGCGCGGCGTGGGCGCCCTCGTGACAAAGGTGGCGCTCGTCGACGACCTCGCCATCGCCTGGTGGCTCGAGGACGAGCCGACCATGGGGAGGGGCCAGCCCGACGGCTTCGACCACGAGTACGTCGAGCCGCCGCGGGAGCACTTCAAGGTGCGCTACGGGTCGCCCCTGGCGCGGCTGGGCGGGTGCGGCGGCGGGGGCGCGCCGACGTTTGCGTCGTGCGAGGAGGCCCTGGGCCTGCACCCGGCCACGGCCTCCATCCTCGACGACGTGCGGTTCCTGATCGGCCTCGCGCTCGCACTGCCCGCGGACCCGACGCCGGACCAGGAGCGCAAGGTGAGGTCGACGGCGGCCTGGATCTACGGCCGCATCAGCAAGCTGAACAGCGAGTCGCCGGGCGGGCCCATGTCGTCGACTGAAGAAGATTCAGATGCGCACGAAACGGATGGGAACGACGTTGCCATCGGTAGAGATAGTGCAGGGGTCGAAAGCCCGGGCACGCGAAGCAAGGGGTCGACTTTGAGCCCCGAGGCGGCGTCCGGCGCCAGGCCGCACTCGCTCCTCCCGGACTATCCTTCGTATACGTCGTCGTCAAGAGTCACGACGCCCTCGGCTGACATAGAGTTCGAGTCTCCGCCTGCTGCGGGCGACAGCGGCTCGAGGCCCACCAAGTCCCTAGTCGCGAGCCCTTACCCAGAGGATCGGGCGCGCCCGCAGCAGCAGCAGCAGCAGCAGCGGGGGATGGCGTCGGCGTCGGCCGCGCCTGGGCCTGGGCCTGGGGCCGACGGCGGGGGCGGTGGTCAAAGCGGGCGTGGGGGTGGGGATTGGGATGGGCAGAGGGAGGAGGAGGGGGGGCAGTCGTCGGCGACAGACTGCTGCATCGGGCAGGAGCCGCCTGACCCGCTGTACACGGGGGTGCGACTCGCGGCTATGCTGTACGCGCGCGCCCTGGCCGAGCGCAGGCCGTTTAGCGAGATATGCCTGCCGTCCGAGGCGCTGGCGCTGCTGATGGCGACGTGGCGGATCCCGCTGGGCCGCTGGCGCGGCATCATCGGCGTCTTCCTCTTCATGCTCATGGCTATCATGCCCACCGTCCGGGAGATCCAGTACCCTGGGAGTAGAAGCAGGCTGGCGAGGGCCCGCGAGAAGGGAAAGCGGCGGCAGCAGCAGCAACAACAGCAGCAGCAGCAGCAGCAGCAGCAGCAGCAGCATGGCAACAGAGACGACGCCACAGCGGCCGAGGGCGGCGGCAGCGGCAGTCAGAATAAGGCAGACGGCGGCATCGCTTGTACCGGCGCGCCGAGCTTGGACTGGGACGACCCCAACGAGGTTGTTTCCATGGCGCACGTGAAGCCGCACTCGGGCTTCGTCAAGTCGATTGTCCAGATCGGCTTCATGCAAATGGCCATCGAGGATTGGGGATTGTGTGCCGACACGCTGGGGCGCGGATTGGCGCTACAGCGATGGTTGCGTGGTGGGTGATGGATGGTGGTGGTGATGGTGGTTGATGAGCGCGCTTTCACTTTGGTTGGTTGTTGATTCTTGGCGGTGCAAATGTCGTCATGGCTTCGTTTTTGAAGTGCTCGTGCAGGCTAAAACTTCAATCTTGTCTCGTGAATATTTACTAGCGACGGCTGGGCGGCGCTTCGGGCGGCTGTTCCCGTTAACCGGGGGCCCTCTCTCGGCGAGCAGGGCAGCGATGTCGCTATGCCCTGCAGTAAGGGTACCACATCGGCCATCTCCGCCGCCGGAGTCGCTGATGACAATCTCAATGTGACCTGCTTGCTCTCCGCATCTTGGACACGCCCACTGGCTTCCCATACCCCTCCCTGCTGGCTTCCTCTTTCTACAATGCTCCCTTACTGCCTCGTCTGGTGACGACAGCCGCCTTACAGTCGGCTCGCCCAAAGGAATTGACAAGCAAGCATCTCCATACGGCAGAAAGCAATGGCAGCATTAGGGGTTGGGACAACCGCTCAGGGAGCAAACTCTCCCGAGAGTAGCCAGGGAGCAACGACGGCGCCCGCCAAGTCGGACTCGGGCTCTCCCACCCCGGCCGGGTCTGTGCTGTTGAAAGACGCGGCCCACGCACCACCCCATCAGGCCGTGGCCGGCGGAGAAGCCCCGAAAGATGGCCCGGCTTCCGGCATGCTGGCCAAGGCGTGGGCAGTCATCCTCCAAGGCCCCAAGGCGACCTGGTTCGATCCGGAAAACCCTCCCGAGTTCACGCTAAGCTTGAACATCCTGTTTACCGCTGTTAGCCACCCCTTCGACTCCCTCACTGCCTCACTAGGAGGGGAAAAGGGGGACTGGACTGACAACGAGCACAGGCAGCAGCCATCACGGTAGGAAATCTATACTACAACCAGCCGGTGCTCAACATGATGGTCCATACCTTTGGCATCAGCTTCGAGCGGGCGTCCTCTGTGGCCACCCTGATGCAGGCTGGCTATGCCGGGGGGCTACTTTTCCTCTGCCCGCTCGGCGACTTCTTCAAGCGGAGGCCCTTTATCCTTGGCCTCGTCGCCCTGACAGCCATCCTGGTGAGCGCACTCAACCCCCTTGCCCTAGCAGTGGTTGCCTGACCCATACGCCAACACGCACTCCATCCCTTTCAAAGTAGCTCGCTCTCTGCCTCACCACCTCCTTCGCCGTCTTCCAGGCCGTGTCCTTCATGGGCGGCTTCACCACCGTCACCCCGCAGCTGATGCTCCCCCTGGTCAGCGAGCTGGCCCCTCCGCACCGCCGCGCGAGCGCGCTCTCCATCGTGGTCGCCGGCTTCTCCTCGGGCGTCATGCTCGCCCGCGTGCTCTCGGGCATCGTCGCAAACTACACCCACTGGCGCAACGTCTACTGGGTGTCGTTCGCCCTGCAGCACGCCCTGCTGGCCGCCCTGTACCTCGGCATGCCCGACTACCCCTCCAAGTCGGCCGCGCGGTTCAGCTACCCGCGCATGCTCTGGAGCATCTTCGTCATGGTGGCCACCGAGCCGGCCCTCGTCCAGGCCGGCCTCGCCGCCTTCTGCGTGAGCGCCGTCTTCACGTCGTACTGGACCACCCTGTCCTTCCTCCTGTCCTCGCCCCCTTACGGCTTCGGCCCGCTCGAGGTCGGCCTGTTCGGCCTCATCGGCCTGTTTGTCATATTCTGGGGCCCACCCTTTGGCCGCATCGTGCTCGACCGGCTGACGCCGCTGGTGCCCGCGCTCGGCGGGCTGGTGCTCAACCTCGTCGGCGTCACCATCGGGACCTTCACGGGCACCTCCACCGTCGCCGGCCCCATCGTGCAGGCCCTCCTCAACGACGTCTCGATGCAGGCCACCAACATCTGCCTGCGCGTCCACGTCTACGGCATCGACCCGGCCGCGAGGAACCGCATCAACACGGCCTACATGCTCGCCTCCTTTTGCGGCCAGCTGACCGGCACGGCTGTCGGGAATAGGCTGTATGCTCTGGGCGGCTGGACTTATAGCGGCAGCTGCAGCAGTAGGTCCATGACTTTGCTTCGTAGCCCCCCCTCACCTCGTGTGCTTCATTTTCTGATCTGTCTTCGACTTCTTCCTTTTTAGTGGCGCTCATGGGCTTCGCCATCTTGGTCTGTCTCGCCAGGGGTCCTCGCGAGAAGGCCTGGGTCGGCTGGGCTGGCGGCTGGAACCCACGCGCTGACAAGCCATCGCCCGCCCCAGCCGAGCAGCAAGCAGCCGACGTGGAGCAGCAGTTGGAAGACAAGGTCGTGGCGGGACCGGAACAGCCGCAAACGGGCCCGGAGAGAGGAGAAGAGGGGGGAAAGGTTTGTTGAGGGGGCTCGAATGCTGGCATCGCCCCAGTATATATGTGACGAGACAGAAGATTTAATGACGCAACGATTTCACCCGTGTCCTCGCGCGTCATATATCCATCGATACCACCAACCCGACCCCGCCGCTCATGCACCGATGGCCTTGCACCTAATGTGACAGACCGACATCTTGACCAGCCCGGGGAGCGCCCTCAGGGACCCGATGCTGCCCTTGAAGACCTCCGTCTCGCGAAACTTCTGGTGCCCCTCGACGCTCGTCCAGCCGATCAGGGCAAAGTGCGCCGCGAACCTGGCACCACCACCACCACCACCCCCGTCGCCGGGCAGCGGGAAGTCGCTCTCGACGCCCCAGCCCATGCTCGCGCCCCTGAAGTCGGGCGAGGCGGGCAGCGCCCCCGCGGCGAAGTCGCGAAACACGCCCGAGATCCCGGCCCTCTCCCCGGCCGTCGTCGACGCGGGAAAGTAGGCGGCCAGGACCTCGACCACGCCGGCCTTGGCCCCGTCTAGCACCTCGGCCGGGAAGGGCTCCACGGCCATGTGCTTGACGAAGCTGGGGCCGGCCGAGGGGTCGATGAAGGCCGCCTCCAGGCCCTGCTTGATCTCGGCGTTGTCGCTGACGTCGTGTGGGTTTTTGGTGTCAAAACAGGTAAAACGGAGAAGAAAAAAAAGGAAGAGGGAACAAAAAGCAGAAGGAGGGGGGAAAAGCAACACCATTTTGCACCAAATCAAAAAAAAAAAAAAAAAAAAAAAAAGCCTCCACTCCCCCGCCATGGGCCAATGCAGACTTACGGATGGCTCCGCCAGGCCCGGTGGGCTTCGACGCTGTCCCAGCCCATCAGGTGCCAGACCTGGGTGGGATTCTCGATGCTGTGCGCCAAGTACGCGGTGTGCGCGCCCGGCTGCCTGACGGCCTTTGCGAGCACCTCGTGCGCGATCCTGCCCTCGGCCGTGCCGGGGTCCGTCGCGTCCAGGCCCGCCTTGACGCCAAAGCACGCGATTTCGAGAACCGGCATTTTTTTTTGGGGAGGGTTCTTTTTCTTTTTTTTTGTCGTGTTTGTGTGTGTGCGTGTGTCCAGATAGCTCCAGGTGCTTCTTTGCCGTGGTTGGATGAGCCAGCCAGTGCGCAAAGGGACTAGAGGTTACCTACCTTCACACCCAACCGGTTATATCGTTATCTAGACCCCGACGTGAGGCAATTTGTGGCAGTTTGATAGCCCACGGCTGAGCAGCAACCCGGTAGGCGCCATTCCAAAAGCCCGCGGCTGAGAATGGATGTGGGCCCCCAAGGCAGCCGTCGTCGGCGGGGGATGAGGCGATTACGTCATCTGGGGTTTGAGGCTCTCTCGTGGCACTGCCGTTTCTGAACTGGCTGCCTCCAGAGTCGCGATGAGGCTTTCTCCAAGAACGCCCCCGCGAACCAGCGGTGCCCTTGTGCCATGTATCACCAACCGTCGCCCGGGCAGGGAAACATTTCCGATGTGTATATGCCGTGGCGTTTGTGCTGTCCGTTGCTGCAAAGTGCAGTGACACCTGGGGAATAAACCGACTGTATGCTTATCACCCCGTCATCTTCTTCCTGGTCTAGATAGTTCTCGGGCGTCCCAAGATGTTTCGGGAGCTCTCTGCGGCGAGCTGCCTTGGATGTTTGCACTCGGCAGGGCGGCAGAGCTGGAAAGGTGCTACGACATCCACGCTGGTTCCAGAATATTCCGTATCGACGACGGGTCTGGAACCCGTGTCAATGATGGGGACATTCTGGCTGAAGGGACATATGCCAAGGCCAGCCGACTTTCCTTTAGAATACACTCCTAAACCCGAGCAGGCTCGCAAGATTCAGATGCTTTCTGCCTTCTAGGCCTCATCTCGACCGTGACGAGAATGGGCATTCCAAGAGCCATGTCCAACACGGAGCTGCGGCACTCTCACAGATATCCGCCGGTCCACATGCCACCCGTAGACAGAGGTAGCAACCGGTTCGACGCTTCACCACGTGTCCGAGACAAATGCTGTAATACAGTGACCCTCCCGACTGGTATCACCTCGGCTTTGACGGGGGCGTAGGTAGTATCAACACAAACACCTCCAAGGCTATACAGGTTTGTGTTTTGTAATCACCGGGAACCGATAATGCGATACTATAGCTTCTTAGATATTTTGTAGCTACCTACCTACCATAGCTTGGTTCAGTGGAGGAGAGCATATGTCCATAATGACTGGGCTAAAATGGGGGCAAGTATAATTTGCTCGATAGCTACCGTAGGCATGATCCTGATCCGACCGCCTACTTTCTCAATCCATTTCAGACAGTAGATGACGCGACCGATGGCGCAGCTGCGGTCTGTGACTCCTTTGGCTTAGGCTTTCCGATGATGCCCGAGCCGCGGAACGCGACAGCAGCGACCACAACGGCGCCAAGCCCAATGGCGAAGTTGAACCAGAACCCCGCTCGCAAGCCGTCTAGGGAGGGCTGATCTTGAGTGACCGGCCCAACCTCCTGGATTCCCTTTCCTCTGCCGTTGGCCATGACCGACATCTGCACTGCCGTGGCGATGGCGAGCCCAACAGCACGGCCGACCTGGCCAACGGCGTTGACAAGCGCGCCGCCGAGTGCTTGATCCTCTGGAGGCAAGCAGTAAGACGTAAAGAGCGTTAGACTGGGCCATGTCGTGTCAGACCCAATAACGCTGAGCGACATGGCTATCATGCCAGTGGCGAAATAATTGGTGTTCGGGTCGATCGGGATGGCGAATATCAGATTCGCTATCGCGACGCAGGCGTTTCCGCCGAGCAGGATGATCCATGTGGGCACGTAAAGCAGAAGCTGGGAGGCGGCCAAGGCCGTCAGCAAACCAGCAACGCCTGTAGGCAGGAACCGAAGAGTCGTGTCAAGGGTTCCGAGCCCTTGGTAGCTCTGGTAGAAGTATGTGGCGTAGACGAGGAATCCATTGAAGGAGGAGAAGAACAAGGTCATGAGGATCATGGCTGCACTGAACTTCTTGCTCTTGCGGAACATCGACACCTTCATCAGAGGAGCGCGGTTACCCCGTGATTCAAGGCGATGCTGCCAGTAGACGAAGGCGACGACCATGGCAACAGAGACGATGATGAGAGCCGGGATCCACGGCGTACTCCACCCCACAACGTTGCCGTCGGTGAGGGCAAAGAGGAGGGCAAATAGTCCGACTGTGACCAGGAAAGCCCCGATCCAGTCGACCGTTGCCTTGGAATCCGGTTGCGACTCCCTTGGCGCGGGCTTGTCGGCGGGGATGATCAGTGCTCCGGCGACTGTTATGACACCTGAGATTATGGCCATCACCCCGAACACCCACGGCCAAGACAAGCTGGTGGTGATGAAGCCAGCAATTATGGTCCCAAAGATACTTCCTAGCGGGGCACCCGCACCTAGATAGAGGCAAATATCAGCTACTGTTAGACTTGAGCGCAAGGGAATGAGGTGCCCTACCATAGGCACTAAATGCATATGTCTTGGCTTTTCCAGGGGCAAATGTCGTTCCTAGTATGCCAAGGGCGGTCGGGACGTTGGCGGCGGCGCCCAGTCCCTGAAGGCCCCTGAACAGGTCGAATCCAATCTCGTTCCTAATCAGAGGACACAGAGCCGTGGTGATGGTGACCCAGGCGGAGCCAAGAACAAAGACGCGCTTCTTTCCGTACAGATCGGCAATGCGGCCCCAAAGAAGCAGAAAGCAACCGAAGGAAAGGGCATAGGAGGAGACAACCCATTGCAGTCTTGCATCCGGAATCCCCAGGTCGCGGCCTATGAGTGGCAGGATGATGACGGCTGCTTGGAACGAGAGTATCTTTTCCACAGGCCCAGGAGGCACCACGTCAGCTGGCATTGCTGGTTTGCCGGCAAGGATCTAGAGTGCTTCTCACGTTTTGGAAGGCCGCACCAGATGTTGTAATCACCAGCCCGATACATCTGGCCTTTGAGTAAGGCAAAGGGGGCTCGGAAGACTCCTCTCCTTCGTTCGCCACATGGCCATCAGGGGCTCCGACGGCGGGGCCGGCTGGTCCTCGAGAGGGTGCGTGTGTCAGGGCATTGGATTCCGTCGACGTCTGGTTGGATCCATCGTGATCCTGTTTCTCGGCGGCAGGAGCGTAACTGGAAACGCGACCTAGGGACGACACGCTTGAGCCCGGAGGTTTCTCTTCGGCACCTTCTGCCCCGTGTCCGGTATGAGAGACATCCGGTTGCGCTCCCATGTTGAGACAGTGTTTGTGGAGAGGCGGATGGGAAGCAAACGAGGCAGAGAAAGGGGACGGGAGGACAGCCCGGACGTGGAGAATTATCTAGGTGCCATGCTGGAAAAGGGAAGGAAAAGGAATGGAACGGAAAAGGTTGAGAGTGACGACAAGACAGACTTCCCTGGATAGAGGCCAGAGCACACCCAAAGGAGCAAGAAGCTTGATGGCAATAATGCGGGAAGCTCCGCCCTAGATGGGAGGAGCGACTCAGCAGACGGGGTGTGCAGTTATTAGTCTGTGCCGCTTCTGGCAAGCGCGGCGCCGCTGATGGCAGTTTCCCTGAACACCGTTTCCGCGAACCCAGGCGGGATTGGGATTTGTGCCACAGCGGTTTCCGTTACGTACAAACCAGAGGCCTGGGCCGGGCGACAGAGGACGGCTCAGACGCCGTCCCCTGGCAGCGCCGCCCAGTGGCTTGCTGAGGTTTCTGGGGCATGGGCTGTCTGACGTCTGGTGGGCAGGTCCGCCCCCTGCACCTGCCTGACCGACCCGGGCGACAAGCACCGGCACACACCAGACACACCGCCGCGCTGATCTGGACGACCACATACACACGACGACGTGGACTCGTGCCGGGCACGCAATGGCTGCGTGTCTGCGTGTCTGCGTGTCCGCGTTGCTTGCCATCAGCGCATCATGGATCAGCATGCGACCGAGAGCAGCGCGCGCGCTAGTGCCCTTTCGAATTCACTTGGCCCGCGGCATGGCATGGACCACGGTCACACCTGCCCTCGCACTGCTCGCACCCAGGTTAGAGGCAAAAGCAAAAACGCAAATTTGCAGCTGCCGGCAGTCAGCATCAGCCGCTGCCGTCTTTCGGCCGTCATCAACTCTCTGCTCTGCGTCCCCGTTTCTTCCTAGCTTTATCCCCGCTCGTTCCCGTTTGGCTTGATGCCCGGAAGCTGACAAGCCCGTTGCGGCAACCGCGTTGATGCTGCCTTCCATGCGTCAATCCATTGCCCCTGTGTCACACCGGGTCCCTACCAGGCGGCAGCCATTGAAAGCAGCATCTCGCACTCTCAGCAGCAGGGCAGCGCTGTGTGGCGCGGGATGGATTGCCCATCGCCCAGTTTCCGTGCTCCCCGGCCATCTGCCATCTCCTGAGCAAATCTGCCGCAATCAACTCCAAGGTCGCCGTGACAGGTGCCACCGACAACGGCCGACTCTCGTCCAGATCCACACACATCTTGGCGGCACGCCACCGACGGCTGGCTGCATCCCCAATCCGGCCTGTGGCTCCTGGTGATCGCCGGTGCGACCTGCGATAACATGTGCGCTTGCAATCCAAGAAGCCTTCAGACCATCGATCTGGGTTCCCACTCTAGGTCCCTCTTCCGGCCCGTCTCGGTCGCTCGCTCACCGTGGGACAAGTCAGGTAACAGGTTCTCGGCGACGCCACTTGGCGAATTCTAGTCTGCAGCGCCCACAGCGCTTCTTCCTGTTCTTTTTATCCCATCACTGATTATTGGAAATCCCTAGCTCAAGCACGTCGGGACAGCATCCCAGACGTATATCGCGGCTCCCCCGAATCAGGTATTTGGGTAGTAGCCCAGATAGTGCTTCCGCGTCAACCAATGGCGGCCTGGTGACCATGTGTTACTCCCGCCCATTTTTCTCTGCCCGCAAAACTAGGGCTCGGCCGATACGCCCCCTTTGTCAGACGTGGCCGTCTTTGAGCCCCATCAGCCGTCGTTCCTGCATCCGTGCTTCCCCACGAAATCGCCGCCAAAAAACGAGCACGGGCCAGTCCTGACATGCAGAGAACCGGATGCAGTAATCCAAGATAAGGAATGCGCACGCCGGGGTTCCATATCTCCCACGGTGGTGTGGTTTGCGTGATGTATGCTTGCCTCAGGTGGGCAGTGGGAGCCAAACAGTGAACCGCGCAGGCAACTTGGCAAAAATTAGGCAGGCTCTGGAAGCGATGGCCAAGTTTTGCCGCAACTTTCCAAGGATGCGACCATTGAGTCGCGCACGACATCCAGCAGGTGCAGGTTTTCTGGTTGAGGGGTTCCAGGGTTCTTTGTTCTAGCCTTCTGCTTGGTGGCGTTGAGGTTTAATTACTGGCTTAAATCGAAGTCAAACAACGTCAGCTTGCCAACAAACATTATGGCCGGTAAAACACTACAGTGAAGAGGGTGGAAAAAGAAATTCTGAAGTGACTCCGATGCAGGCGTATATAAACTATAAAGACAGGAGCGCCCCCTAGCTAGGTGGTCTGCGTAGAAATATAACGAATAGTCTCCTAAATTTAATGATAACACTAGATCAATCTAAGCCGCCATATGGATTTACAACATCTCCAAGGGGGGTGACTAGAACTAAGTAGTAAGCAATAAAAGCAACGCTGCGCAACTAAGCTGCCAGCAATTACAAGGGCTAGGATACCACCGTCTTGCTTCACTGAGGCTCTACGGGTTGGAACGAATCAAAGTCCCTTTATTCATTGATTGTTGTTTTCTCTTCCCATGCAGGGCCCCAGTAATGTCAAAGACATCCCAGGTCTGTTCTAGATAGTCTTTATCACTTGCTCTGTCAAACAATCAACCCTTTGCATCATGTCGTGTTTGCCAGGGATAATCGTCCTTGGGAGCTGGGTGTTTCCAACCCTTTTTACTTGGGCAAAGTGTGAAAGGAACGCGCGTGCAGTGCATTGGCCTCAGCAGCCGAGGCCGGTGTTGTGGACTTGGTTCGCGGCGGATCTAGAAAATGTGAGTTTGGGTCTCAGCTCTGCTACTGCCCGTTGACACAAACAGGGTACGCCTCAACAGATCTCCTCAGTTCAATGCCAGGTGCAACTTGACACTGGGCTTGAGAACGTGCTTTCCCGGGCGGTTCACTTGGTAGGCAGGCCGCTGCACTAGGCAGCCGTCCTAGAATAGCAAGAGATCAATACAAGGCCACTGTCCCAAGCCCAGTGAAAACAAGTTGATGAACACGAGATTAGCAGAAACCCGCCTGCTCAACCCGACAAGGCTGCTCAGTTTGCCTCCTTTGTTTCAGACGAATCCACTCTCAGCCCTCAACACCGACCCGAGCGCCTTCTCCAACCTGCCTCCTGCGATGCCGCGCTCTTCTGTTGCCAGCCTAGAACCACCAGTCTCAACCGCTTGGCCCCGCCTTTTCACTTGCTGGCCTGGTATATAACCCGGCCTCGTCCCATTTGGATTTTCTTGTCGATAAAAACACTACAGACAACGTCCACCGAAGAGATCTTGGATATCCGAGCTGGCTGGCCTTCCACATTAGACAACATAGATCTCCTCAGCTCCTTGGACCCAAACCATCCAGCAACACCTCCTTCCCCAACTCCATCCTGTCTCGCAGACTCCACAGCACCGTAACATCGACAGCACCGTGTCCAGCGCGACATTGGGTCCGACTCTTCAACATGAACCACCCCCAAGGCAACGCGGATCGTCCCGCACGCCACGACTTCGGCGCGATCGGGACGCCCATCCGCCCTCGTCCCAATGCTCCCACCCCGTCCGTCCGGGACGATCTGAGCTCGCCCCCGAGCGCCATCTTCAGCCCCGGCGTGCCCAGCGGCGCGACCAACATGTCATCAGTCGAGCGGTCCGGGCCTAGCACCACCTTCATTAGGCAGGGGGGCAACTCCATCTGGGACCCGGCCGAGTCTCCCTCGCAGTGGAGTTGGTGTCGCCCCTACCAGCCGTCCGGTCATGCGCAGCAGCTCGGCGGCTGCCGCCCCGGTAGTCCCACCGGCACCGCGTCGGGCCTGTCCGGGCTGCCCACCAGGGTGAACACGCCCGAGACCACCGCGACCCTCGAGGGCGGCGGCGACGAGCAGGCGGCCTTCTTGCGGGTCAGCCGCCGCCTCTACCCGTACCAGCAGCAGCCCGCGTCCCCGTTGTCGGCGCTTCCTTCTTCGCCCGTGACGGCTCTCCGGGATGCGACGGGCCCCCAGGAGCAGCGGCTCAGAATGCTGCAGTGTTCCGGCAGGACGGGCAACTCTGCCGCCCTAACGCTCCCGTCGCTCGCCGAACAGGCTGTCCGCCCGCCTACCACGCCGGGCAGCTCCGCACCCTTCGCGCCGGCCCTGTTCGCCCCGGGCGGCGGCGGCCAGGCTGCGCGCCAGCCCCGACCCACCCCCGGTGCAGCCCCCGGCGAGTACGCGGAGCAACAGCGCGCCCGTCGGACGATGGCGTCCGAGACGCACGCCCACCAAACAATGTCGAGCCAGAACTTCTCAATCTATCGTCGGCTCCCGTCGCCGGCTGTGCAGGCGCCGCCATCGATCGAGAGCATCATGTCCGGCGTGGGTGGCCTTCGACTGGCCGACTCTGGTGGCCTCGGGGGCCCGCCGTCGACGGACCGGGTCTTCCATCCGATGGAGTCGACCGCCCGCGCCCAGCAGGAGCGCCAGCACTTCCCGAGGCAGGGCGGCCCCACCCGCGCCGCTGCCTTGGGCGGGGGCGGCTTCGGCGACGAGGCGGCCTCGGGCGCGGTCAGTTCGACGCCCGTGGCCATCACGCGCATCATGGCGGGCTTCAGCCCCAACTACAGGGGCAACATCAACATCGACCGCAACCGTTCGGCCGCGATTCCCGAGCACGAGAATTGTAGCCTTTTCATCCTCGGCCTGCCGGCGGACCTGACGACGCGGCAGCTGCTCGCGGGCATCCGCAACATCGGGCGCGTCTACGCCACGCACATCAACCGGCCCGAGCCCAGCCGCGGCCACATGACGTGCGCGGCAAAGGTCATTTTCTTCGACCGCGAGCCGGCGGCCCGGTTCCACGCCGCGTGCAGCCCCGAGAACGGCGGCTTCGTCGTCGGCGGCATGCGCACCCGCGTGCTCTGGAACCGCATCCGCACCGCCGCCCAGCCCGCCGGGCCGCCCGCCGCCTCGGCGCTGGGTCCGTGGCCCTACGACCATCACCATCAGCACCAGAGCCAGCAGCAGCAGCAGCCCTCGGGCCCCGACTTCGGCATGGGCTTCGGCAACGCCGCCGCAAACACCGCCGTCGACAGGGCGGGCCGGCACCGGTCTCGCGTCCTGCTCATCTACGGCCCCGCCAGGTTCGTCAACTTTGATAGCCTCACGGCCTATTTCCGATCCAAGCTGGAGTTCCAGATCGATGAGGTCTTGACGCTGGCCATGTCCGGCCAGGGGCCCGACGACGGCGTGCTTCTCGAGTACCGCTTCGGCAGCTTCAGGTGCCAGGCCGAGGCGGCCAAGATGGCCCTGACGCGCGAGCACCAGGACACGGTCAGGGTCTGGTTTGGCGTGGACCCTTGCGACGTGCGGCCGCCGCGGCCGAACCCGCGTCCCGCGGCGCTGTCGGTGGTGATGGAGGAGGACGAGACGAGAGAGAGCGACGATGGCCCATCTCGTGTTCCCCTGCCCTTCGTTGACTCGAGCGACTTCTGATCTCGGCCGAGACACATCGAACTTCCATCCCATCCTCCGCCCCCCTGCATCCCCTGGCGGCCAGTCAGACCTACGCCAGAGGTGGGGCGAGGCAGGTGGGGAGTTGCGCGCTGAAGGGTATATGAGGCATAGACTCGGTAGGATGTGCCTGGGAGGAAAGGCTTGTTTATATTGCAGACGCGATGGATTTCCACAACTTCCTCAAAGGAGACCGATGGATTGTTTCTTTGTTCGCTTATTCGTCCATTGGCGGGGCGCCTGTTATGGATGATGAGGGTGTAAGGCGTTCAGGATTGGGCCCGCGGTACTGTTTAGGTTGATTTAGGGGCGATCCTTGCACGATTGAAGCATGCGGTGTCAGCCTTTTGGGCTAGGATCCTGATCCCTCAGGTTGAAGGATGAGATCTCGGGCTGTTTATTAGCTAATTGTCAAATTGCATGTAGCATTTGCGCTTCCGTGGAGCCGAAGCTAAACGGTGAACTTGGCCGAGGTATTCGAGTGTACTTGGGCCAGCCCAGGCCAGCCATGAGTGCGCCAACAAGCGAAGCGGACTGGATTGACAATGTTCGTTGTGCCTCAGCTGATGCCGTGACGCCAAGGACGCTGCATTTCGCAACCAACGCAACGTGCCAAGTGGGCCTCCAATCTCCACGCAAGTCTGCGTTCGATGCGGGTTCTGCGGGAATGAACCGATGAAGCCCAAGGACGCTCCCAGGACCAAGGACGCGGCATATTGGGGTGGGGCCTGGAATCCGAACCGACCATTGGGCGACATAAGCGCGGCGCAGGCGAATCATGTGAGGCGCAACAGGCGATAACGTGCCGATGGCGCGCGCCAATCAGCCAATCAGGCGACGCAAGCGGCCGAGGTGCGCGGGTTCCGTACCCGACATCGCGCTTGACGTTGGGAGCTGGATTTTTTTTTTTTTGGAGCCGCGGCCAGACACGGCCACCAACAAGGCACAAGGCGCGCCGCCAAGCATCGACAGTTATGTGCTAGCGAGCTGTCCTAGGCGGGTCCGTCAACGGCCGGGCAGACTGCGGATCCCCGCCGCCAGGTTGTCGGCACGTTGGGGGCGGGCAGGTTTGCTTCCTTTGCAAATGCATCTGTCCGGGGCTCGTCTGTTTGTCAGCTGTTGCCGTTTCCGAACTAGGATGATGCCCAGAATGTTTTCGACCCGCCGTTCGGTGTGCTCCATCCGGAAGGACGCGGCGCCTGGCGGACAGTAAGGACTGGGTATCAGGTAGCATTGAGTTAGGCCAGCAGTCGCTGGTTTGGTGGTGGGTTTGGTGTTGCACAACTTGCCCTGAACGTTTATTGGCTGCGAACCCGACGTGGATGCATTCGTGTCTGGATACTGGTCATTGGCGATACCCCCAGTACCCAGGGATCGATTCCACGTTGCACTTGAAAATCCTCCCGCAGTCGTGAAAATCCTCCCGCAGTCGTTGCTTCGCTCTTGCTCCTTTTTGGCCTTTCCCTCCCTCCCAATCCGTGGCCCGTGCACATGCCGCAAAAGGCATGTGGGTGGGTGGAGCACAACCCCATAACGACAACCTCATCTAGACACGGCCGCCCTTCAACCTCAGCGACTTGACTCCTCCCGGCGGGCATCCTCGATCTGCTCGGGGTGATGCGGATCAAGCCCAAGGTAGAAAAAAACCGCGCGCTTCTTTGTGTTGCCATGATTGCCGCTGCCTAGGTAATGGCCGCGCAATTGGTCGTGTTAAGCGCACCAACGGTCCCCGGGAGGGCGCCCATACTCCAAGCGGTGTCGATGCACGGTACTTGTGTTTTTGCCGTCCACTCGCCAATAACGGGCCGGCGCTGCCGCTCTGCCCCGTGAGCCAGGCAGCCTGGCCGGAAAATGCGGTCGGCGTGGCCACTGGAATGGTGGTTTCCTAATGCCATGCAATCTCTTTGTCCAACTTTTTATGTCGTCGATTTCTTGTCCTACCAGACTTTTTTTTGCCCTGCTGCTTGCTGTTGCTCCAGATCGCCATGTCCTTCCTCTCTGCTCGGTCCACTCCCCCACAACGCAGCTCCGCCCCCCACTCTCCCCCCTCCGCCGGGCGTTGGTTACGTTCGCGATCCTCCCGCACACGGGCAGTCCGCCCGATGGCTCTGCCTTGCTCCTCGGGGTTCGACTAGGTACCTACTTATCTTGATCATATGCAAACCGAGATCACGTAGCCACCCCGTCCACGTGCAAAATGGGGGCCATCCAAGGCCACCGACAGCCCTGCTCTCGCCTGGCCGTCCGTCAGTTGCAACCTCTTCGTATAGTTGCCTATCCCCTACCCTGCCCTCCCCAAGCCGTGTGCGCCATCCATGGAGATCCCCGAGTCCCACATGGCCCGGCCCCTCTCTACCTTGCCCAGAGCTGCACCTCGCCCCAGAGGAGAAAGAGTGTTGCCTATGGGGTTCTCCGTCAAGATAAGGGGCTTGGCCTGTGGCTACGCAGAATGTCGTCACCCCCTACCCACCCCGCCGCTCACAATCAGTTGCGACTTAGTCTTGCGCCTAGACCTCCAGCATCCATCCTTCCCCTCCACCAACCCGAGAGTGAAATTAAGGTAGCCAAGCAAAGAGGGCGGCAACAACCAACACGCGAGATCCTTGCCGCCAGGACCCACGCCCCTTTCGCATGTCAACGTTCCAGGCCCCTGCGTGGCACACCAACATACAGAAGCGCAGTCTGCCGCGGTTTTGTGAACATGTGAACCATGTCCTCCGCCCCCTAACGGCATCTCGCCGCTGGAATAAGCGTCAAGGCATCAACCATGGATCCCTTCCCTTCCCGGATACAAAAGTCGGCGGCCCGCTCCATCTCATCCTTCAGAGTATGGGCACAGAGCAGGCGCGGCACGACAAGGTATAAACCCTCCGATACACGCTCGACAAAGCCCTGCGGCTATCAGACCAGCTCCGCAGACCTGGACCCAGTCCGGGCAACGCGGCCCTATCTTTGCCGCCTCAACGCCCTGTCATCGGAACATCCAGGGTGCTGCGAATACCTGGCCGCCGGAATCAAAGACCATCACGCCTACCACGACCCATCGCTCGCTTACGCCACACGTCATCATGTCTTCCAAGGCGCAGTACTTCCGACCTTCTCGCACAGAGGACTGGGAGCCATACAGGGCCGTCATCGAAGCCCTGTACAAGGAGAAGAAACTCAAGGATGTCATGGACACGATGGAGACTTCGTACTCGTTCAAGGCCACGTATGTATCACATTCTTGATTTCTTTTCCTTCTATCCTTATCCGCGTCTATCTCAGCACCCCCTGAAACCTCAACTAACCCCAACTCCGCATCACCAGGACTCGCCAGTACAAGATCAAGATCAAGGAGTGGGGCCTCGACGACAAGTACATCAAGACCTCGGAATACCTGGGCATCCTCAAGGTCAAGAGGAGGCGTGAGCGGGAGGACCCCAACAGGGACACCATGTTCTGGCTCCGGGGCAAGCAGGTCGACCCGGCCTCCATCACGCGCTTCGAGACCCGAGCCACGAAGCGAGGGCTCATCACGGACAGCGACACGCTCTCAGACCGAGGTGAGCGATAGATATACCATTCTCACCATTACCTTCCCAAGCACATTGCCCCTGTGTGGTTGCACAATGTCTTCGCTTGCTGACCGACGGGTGTGGCCCCTTTGATCACTAGACTCGCTCGGGGACGACCTCCAGTACATGACGCCGACCGAAGACTACGATGAGGACATAACGAGTTACGAAGACTACTACGCCGCATACGAGACCCGGGGGCAGTCCTCCTCCTCCTACCAGTACTCGACCGGTCGCTAATCAAGGCGGTGGGGGTGATGTGCAGCAAAGTCGATGTTGCACATATGTATTTTTTCTCTCACGTAGCATGTATCTCCTCTGTTTCGGTCAGCCGCGTGAGAGCACATGTTCTCAGCGCACACGGTGGCTGTCGTCGTCGATTTCCAGTTTCGCTCTAGATTTCTCTGTGGGAAAATCTCATGGCTCTCTTAGCTGCCTCACATGTCGACCTTGGGCAGATTTCCTACTTACGGCAAAGGCATCAACAATGTCTCAGCTAATAATCTTCTAATCCCTCATTCCCCGTAATCTATCGCAGTCTGGAAAGTGGTGCTCTGCCCGCCGGTTGAGACCGTTCAGTGCGGATTTACAACCCATCCGCACCACACCGGCTGCTGTGATAGCAAGATAACTAATTAGAAATTCTGCTCCCACAACATTCGATTTCTTACTCTCAGCTTTACAATCTCAGCACCAGGGAATAACCGAGCCTTTTTCCACCACAACCCAATTGATTACTGTTTCATTATTACATGCCGCCTATCCTTCGAGTCCTGTTGCGGCGTGCGTGCTCAGCCTTGGCCCCAGAGGGTGCTTGGGCCTCCAATTTAGCCAAAGTTTAAGCCAAAGTTTGGACTTTGAATTAGTCGCCATTTTCGTAGCAAGTGGGTGGAGTTCCTGCCAGGACCAGTAATTATGCAGGCTCCTACGGAGGCCAATTATGGAGGGGGCTCAAGTGGTCGCCTCCAGCCGGCACACTCGGGCAAGCGTGTCTAAAATCACATGTCCTGGCCCCGTAATTCTAGGTGATCACTCCCAACATTAGCTACGAGCACAGTGACTAACCCACGCAATGGAAAAGGCAACAGGTTACACGAAGGAAGTACTTTCTACTGCCTAAATACATTGGGCTTCGGCCTTAACACTTGTCAAGAACTTGGCTCTACATATCTCAGAAGGCAAGCAACCAGACTACTACCACATTGCAAAGTACGGGATCGTTTATGCTCGTTCTCAAGAGATTGAATTGACCTTGAGGCTAATGCTAGAAGTAGGAGCCTTTGAAAACTAAGATCAAACCAAAGCTATAAAAACATCCATTGACCACAACCAACCCGCCACCCCCTAAACCGGACATCACTTTCACCAATCCTGGTCAAAACAAACCAAAAAACAAAGACGAGCAGAAAAGGTGGCTTGGCGGCCAGAGCGACTCGGCTAACAGTCCGCTGGGAAATTTACTCCCAGTGCTCATCGAAGTCGCGAGCCTCGACAGGGGCAGCAGACTCGTCAACGTCACGGGCGGTGATACCGACGGCCCCGAGGGCCATCTGGCCACTCATCTTCAGGATCTCGCCCTCCTTCTTGAGTTTCTGGCCGACGTTCTTGAAGAACTTGCCGATCTTGGGCTCGGGCTCGGGGGAGCGCTTGGCGATCTCGACTCCTGGGAGGACGGTCTGGATAACGCTTTCGCCAAGGGGCTTCAGGGCCTTGCCAGCCTTCTTGAAGAACTTGCCGATCTTGGGGTCGCGGGTTTCGAGCATCTGGAACTCATCGACATCGCGGGCTTCGACAAGGGCAGCAGACTCGTCAACGTCACGGGTGTTGATACCGAGGGCTCCGAGGGCTATCTGGCCACTCAGCTTCATGCTCTCGCCCTCCTTCTTGAGTTTCTGGCCGACGTTCTTGAAGAACTTGCCGATCTTGGGCTCGGGCTCGGGGGAGCGCTTGGCGATCTCGACTCCCGGGAGGACGGTTTGGATGACGCTTTCGCCGAGGGGCTTCAGGGCCTTGCCAGCCTTCTTGAAGAACTTGCCGATCTTGGGCTCGGGCTCGGGGGAGCGCCTGGCGATCTCGACTCCCGGGAGGACGGTCTGGATGACGCTTTCGCCGAGGGGCTTCAGGGCCTTGCCAGCCTTCTTGAAGAACTTGCCGATCTTGGGCTCGGGCTCGGGGGAGCGCCTGGCGATCTCGACTCCCGGGAGGACGGTCTGGATGACGCTTTCGCCGAGGGGCTTCAGGGCCTTGCCAGCCTTCTTGAAGAACTTGCCGATCTTGGGGTCGCGGGTCTCGAGCATCTGGAACTCATCGACGTCGCGGGCCTCGAGGCCGGACACGTCATCGCGGGCGGCGAGGTCGCCCGACAGGGGCAGGGGAGCGCCGGCGGCGGAGGTGACCAAAAGGCTGGCCACGAGGACCTGGGTGAGCGAGAGCTGGGTGAGCTGCATTATTGCGGCCGTTGACGTGCGGATATGTCGAAAGGGGTTCGGCGATATTGGGTTCCAAACGAAAAAAAAAGAAGAGGTGGCGGGTGGAAGGTGGGTGGATGTAAGTTGAGAATGAGATGAACAGAAGGAAACTGACAAAAGGAAAAGACAAAAGGAAAAACAAAAAGGAAAAAGATAAAAGACAAAAGCAGATACTATCCGGGGATGGGGAGAAAGGAGGAACAAAAAGGACTTGATGGTGGAAGATGGGCAGCTATTTATCGTCTTTATTGGCATGCGTTCCAGCGTTGCCGGGCATATGGGGGCTCTGCTGCTATTTCCGACCAACTGGCAGCACCCATACCACGGATCTCCCAGGGGGGGTACCCGATGAACGGTTTGGAAACGTGTATTGACGCGAGGGGTGGCATCAATTCACCTCGAGTCGCGCCAGCAAACAACATGAGTAGCGCGCGACTGTCGGTGGGGGTTTTTCCCCCCGTCAAACTGGGAGCGTCGATGGGGGAGGGGCGCCCGGCCAATCTTTCACCGTCCGAGGCCGTCGCAACTCCGTCCGGTACACATGGCCGGGTCCTTCTCATGCTGCTGCTGCTGCTGCTGCTGCTGCGCGCGGCCTCTCTGCCTCCCTCTCTGTCGGGCTATCGGGCGGTCCAAAATTAGCCCGATAATGAAACAAGCTCCGCCATCAGGACCCTTGTTGCACTACAGAGTCGCATCGACTAAAAAAAAAAAAAAAACACTTGCCAGGCAAAAAGGACGTCCCATTGATTTGGCATTCGGTTGAGACCAAAATACTTTTTGACATCACCTTTTCCCTCCCAACCTTAGGTCGGCCCTAGGAAACACCACCCTGCCCGGTTTTGAGCAGCGTACCTAGCCGTCGGGTCCGGCGCGCGAGGAGGCCGCCACACTGCAGCTCTCCTAACATTGTGAGTTGACGCAGCTGAGTTGTACACGTGCAGACAGGCGCGCCATCCATCCCGCCGATGTTCTTCTACGGTTTTTTTTTTTTTTGCACATATAGCCGAGCCACCACGGTTGTTGTTGTCGGTGTTGTTGTTTTGCACCAAGAGCGAGCCGCAGCGACCCGCACGCTCCTCCAGGAATCTTGCTACAGGTTTCGTAAGATCAACCGAGATCCTTGGGTAGGGAAAACGGAAGGGCACAAGTCTGGAGAGCAGCAAGCGGGATCTCGGGAGGTACCCGCTCAAATGCTGGGGGGGGCCAGCCCATTCCTCCAGGGGGAGACCCTGCATTTGACTCGGGTGACGCCAGACAAGCAACACGCCAGTGCACGCATCATGGCCTGGCCCTCCCAAAATACCATTTGATGTGAAAGCTTGTGCTCCACCAAACCCTGACAGCACTGGCGGGACGTTTGCAGGAGGTCCGCGCTGTCGCGGAGTTGATAGTGGGGCCCAATTGTGTTACTAACACAAGCGTTTGTGTTTGTGCACATTTGGTCAATTGGTTCGTTTGCGATGCGCGCAGTGTGCGGGCAGATTGGTACCTGGCGGGCGTCAGGTTGTCGGTGTGGATTGTCGGGGTGCGCTGGCAGTGCGTGCGGCTTGGGATGCCCCCGCCTCGTGGAGCTGCAGGCCTGCCCACGGGCGCATAAAGGGGAATCTTTTGATCCCCTTCCTTTACCAGGTTCCTGCCCAGACATGCATTGATACCAGACGCTTCTTTCCAGATCTACCTATTCTCTATATTAGGAACGCCCCGTGCTACCCCCAGAGAGGCTATTTTCTTGTTAGAAATCGTCTTATGTTCCACGGTTAGGGCTGCTTAACGGAGGTGTCTTGAACGGGACGACCACGTTGGGTGCTGGGAAGTGGGTGACAGAAGTCTGATTGCCTACCTCCAGGTGTACTGGGGAGCCAGCTCAGGCTGACTGATGCCGACGCCTCAGTGACAGTAGGAAACCCTTCCTATTATACCCGTGCTAACACTTACACGAAGCCTTCCAGATCAAGGTGATCACTGGTGATTGGTACCGGTTGTCTAATGACCAGGTACGTACTAATTACTGTCTTGTCAGTGCCATCAGTCAAACTCCGGTGATCGCTGATAAGAAGGCTCACCGCGCCGCCGGCAAGTCGTCATTGTCGGCACCTCACGCCATTGGCGCCTGAGACATGGTAGTCACATGACGAAAGAGGCTGCTGGCCACGGTATCTAGGCGGGATGATCCAACAAGCAGTTCCAGGGTTGCAGCAATCAAACTAGAGTTTCTTTTTAACCATATTCTGCATATTCTATTATCGTATTCACCTCGCGCCACCTTCCGTGTCCCCCCCGCCGCGTCGCAACCAGTCTTACCCCCGGAAGCGTCACGTGACTCCCCTGATAATGTGGAGTTGAAGGTGCCCCTTGTTGAACTTTCTATGCGCTAAAGGATTTACTCTGTGTGCTTTTTTCCTCCCCAAAGTTGTTTAAATTCGGGGGCCGTCTGGCTTTATATACGTGAATGGGTAGTAGGGTGCGGCGCCGATCAGTCGCGGGCAACCAAGGGCGCGTTCGGCGGTTGCTGTTAGTAGGAGCTTGGTCCTCCTCTTTGTAGGCTCGGAGAAAGTCCTATCCAGTGGTTTGCGGCGACCGCTCATCGCAGGGAGTAAGAAGCCAGACGTTGTTCACGAGGCAGAAAGGAATGTACCTGAAAGAGGTGGAGCAGGCGGCCTGGGTGAAGGACCCGATCACGGTAGGCCCGTGCGCGCCGCCGTAGCGGGCGGGCGGCGCAACGGCAGTCACGTACTCCACCCTCCGGCTGGCACGCGCAAACCGGCTGGATCCAAACGGTAACACTTTCCACCTTCCAAATCCCAAATTAAACGGCCCCCCAAAGACCTAACTTGGGTGACTTGTGCTGTTTTATATTCTTCTTGCCACACGGTCTTGTTTTGGCTTGGTCTCGGGTTGTTCCTCCGCCGTGGTTAGCTTTGTGTTTCGGGGTCCGTACGCGGGAAGATACAATTCCCTTTAAATCCGCCGGCACTTCCGCGCGGCCTTGGTTGCATACCAAGTAGCAAAAAATCGATGACCCCTCCAAAACTTCTCAGGGTGGTGCGGCTACTTCATTGCCTAGCCATCCTGCCCTCTAGGTAGGTGTTTTGGTGGGAGGTTTTTTGATGGGTGATGGCTGTCACCGTGTGGATCAAGGCCAACTGGCTGTCGGCAAATGAGGTATTCGATCCATGACACATAAGTAGGTAGGCTGTTGTATGTCGGTGGGGGATACGGCTCGCTTTTGGTCCAGTGAGTTGGACATAAAGTAATAAGGGGGCGCACCCGGCGGTGCCCGGCAGCTTGCGCAGGCTCGGGCACGTGGCGGACGAGGTCGGACCGGCACACCCCGGACTGGAAGGCGGTACGGAAGAGCGACCTGAGAGTTCTGGAAGCGGTGGGCTTGAGCTCCACCCCGATCTGTCCGACTAGATTGGTCAGCGACCTGGCACGTGCCTGAATATCAATTGCGGGAATGAAACGGCGCGAGTCAGGCGCCATGTGGAGTCTGTGGGCCTCACTTCGGAGGCTTCTAGGCTCTTTCGGTACGGCAGCCGACCGAGAAAGTGCACGTTCCGTTTCCGCGCCGGGAAATGGATTTCTCTCGGTACCTGGAATAAGGGCTATCTCACGAGCTCGTGCATAATGGAGCGGCTAAATGTAAATGCCGAGGCAATGGCCTTGAGAGTTCTGTGCGCATTTGATGTTTAATGTGCCTTTTGTGAAGGATGCTCTTGCAAAGCCTCCATATCATATTGACCAAAAACGAAACAGTACCTTTCGCTACCACCTGGGCCAGGCACGTAAAGAGGTCTCAACTAGGCTCCCTGTGACCCAATCTCGGCGAGCGCCGAACTAGGGGGCGGTGGTAGGTAGCCTCTGCAGCCTCCCATCTTACCGGGCCGCTTGCCTGCCTGTCTGGTTGAATCCTGCCGTCGGAACCAGCAACCTGGACAACGTTCATCCACGATTGCTGCCCTCCATCTCACCTTTCCAGCTGCTCCCACGATGCGACACTGGCCCGACCTGACTCAGGCACACCTGGACCGTTGCTTGAATCAAGAGAGGTGGACCCAACTGTTGCGGTGTACCTACGCGGCAGAGAGGCAGGGATGACTTGGTAGCGTCCTGCCTTTTCGGGGTTAGGTGGTGGGTAAACAGGAGCGCCGCCATTCCACTTCCGTGAGACCCTTGCCCAGGCTCAAACAAAGCTTCGTGGGCATGGTGGGCTATGTACCATCTGCGGGGGAAATAAAGAGTAAAAACCCACCCAGTAACAGGGGGGTTGAAACTGGAAATCGCAGGGGCCGCGGTGACTTGGGGGGATGTCACGAGACTTCAAGAATTTCTCGTCCTTCAAAAGCTTTTCTCGATTTCTCTCTTTCTTTCACTAACTTTAATAATGGCAGTAACTTCATGCCAGCACGTAACCCCCCTTTCGCCACCCCTGTGATCTCCAGTTTTAACCCCCCTGTTGGGAGGTGGGTTTTTACTGTTTATTTCCCTCGCAGATGGTGAGCCGAGGGGGAGGATAAAATGCCGTCGTAACGCGAAGGACGGAGCGCGGATCAGCTTGGCGCGGATGGGGTAGGCGACTCGCGGCTGGCATATCGCAATAAGCTCGGCCCCGAGCCTGACGAAAACAACCAAGTCGATTTGGGGACGGGGGCGACTCTTCTTCAAGGGCCTTGGCTGTGGCTACAAGGCCTCGCTCGCGGCCAGGCCTCTTCCCTGCCCCGCCTCTCACCTCAGCCGGCCTGGTGCGAGATGGATAAACAGAGCGGGTGGGTGCTCCCTCGTTCGGGCGGTACCTACCTAGGTAGTATGGTGCTTATGGTGGTGTGAGCTGGGATTTGACTCGATGCTCGGTCAGGATGGACTGAGTCGTGTTTGCTCGTTTCAGCGGGCCCGCGGATCGCCAATTTCCAGCTCCCATCCCCGCCCCACGCAGCGCCAGCGAATGGCGACAGGCCCGCCTGTACGTGCCGCAGTTTGGATGGGGCAATTGCCCTGCGTCCTTCACCGGGGGGGTTTAGCTGCAAATGGAGGTCTTCTGGAGTCCCGCCAGTAATGCGTGCCCGCGCCCCATGGCTGGCCTTCGCGATCTGGACAAGGGTTCGTTCTGTCGCCATTGTTTTACAAAAATGTTCCTGCCGCCTCTCGCCGTCCCCCCATGGTCTCACCCCGTCTCGCTGCTCGACGCCATATTTGTTGGTTGTATTGACGTTGCGACCTCTCGCATACGTTTTGACGGCTGCAAGACGAGTCGTCCACGATGCGACCCGGCCAGGACGACAACTAGCAACCCGCCAAAACATCGACCAAACAAAGGCCCTGCTGCGAGGAGTAGCCCAACCGCAGCCGACCTAAAGGCAGCCGGTCATCTAGGTGGCCTAACCAAAAGAGTCAGATGTCCGAATCCTCTAGGGGGCGGCTGGCCCCTGGTAGTGACTCTCTGGTCGGCCTCCCGCCTGTCCACCGTGACGGCCTCATCAGCGTGGTGGTGATCGCCGCCCTCTCCTTCTTCATGAGCACCGCGCTCTTTATCCATCTGACGATCAAGCTGGTCAAGTGGCATCTGCAACACCGATGTCGCCGGCCCGACCCGAGTGATGAGCACATGGATGCCAATGTCGACCTGACACTGGGCCTGGCCCCGAAGCACTTCCAGCGCAGGGGCGACGGTCGGCTTGGCGTCCCAAAGGCCGAGGACTCGCGCAACGGGAGCGGTGCCAGGCCAGCATCACCCTCCCGGAACCAGGCCCATCCGAGTCCGCAGAGCCTTGTTCCCGACATGCAGCAAGCACCGCTGTCGCTGCCGCCCGACGAGCCCAACCAGTTCGTCGTGCTGCTTTACAACCTGCTGCTGGCCGACATGCACCAGAGCATGGCCTTCCTGCTCAACGCGGTATGGCTGCTGCAGGACAGGATCGACGTCGGCACGCCGACGTGCTGGGCGCAGGGGTGGTTCGTCTCCACGGGAGACCTGGCTGCCAGCCTCTTCATCACCGCCATCGCCGTGCACACGTACGTTGTTGCAATTCGGGGGTGGAAGCCCTCTCAGCGCGTCATCATCCTGACCTGCGTGTCGCTCTGGGTTTTTGACTACCTGATGGTCCCCATCGGCATCGCGGCGACGAGGAATGGGGCGTCTGGCGGGGGGTTCTACGTGCGCGCAGCGGGTTGGGTACGTTTCCACAAGACATCTTTGTCGACTTCCTCTTGGGCTCGTAACAATCGCCCTTACCGTTGGACGTGGCTAACTCGACATTGATGATGGCTGTTGTAGTGTTGGATCAACAAGGAATACGACGAAGTCAGGCTGCTGACGCACTACCTCTTCATTTTCATGTCGCTGGCGTCGACAAGCGTCATCTACACCATTATATTTCTCCGCCTGACTAGGCGGACTTTGGAGTCCGATTCCGGCCACTCCGCGGCCGAGGACGGAACCACGTCCGACGTCGTTTCCAAGAGCACGCCCAAGGCTCTCCGGGGCGGGTACAGCTGGGGATTCCTCAGCTACCCCATCATCTTCGTCGTCCTTACGGCGCCGCTGGCGATAGGGCGCATCATGAGTATGACGAGCGTCGACGTGCCTATCGCCTACTTTTGCGCCTCGGGCGCCCTGATCTCGGCCAACGGCCTGCTTGACGTGCTCATGTGGGGCTTCACGCGGCGGGACGTCGTCTTCGGGGACGCCATCGAGGTCGCGGGCGCCCTAGGTCTCGAGACCTTCAGCTTCATGCGCACGCCCCAGGACCGCAAGTACGGGAACATGATCTGGGTCCAGGGTGCCGGGACCGCCGGAAACGGCGGCGGAAAAGCCGGAGCCCCGCAGTGTACTGGATCGGCGGCTGCCAACGGGGCGCGTCGCCCCAGCGAGGCTGACACGGCCCAGTCTGCGGCCGGCAGGGATGGCTTGCGGCGGTGGACCTGGTGGAGGGGTCTTGGTAGCTCCAGCTTGGTGCCGCGGTGGGGACGGGGAGCGGCGGGAGGAGTAGACAGCCCGGACGCGCGCACGCAGCGAGGCATCCGGCGACACCGCGCCCAGCGGAGCGTCAGCATGGAGTCGCTCCGGGGCGGCAAAGGGCGGACCTCGGACGGGGAGAGGTCGCTGGGCGGCATCCAGATGGACATGGTGACGACGGTGGTAATTGAAACAGACCCAGAGTCCAGCGGCCAGGGCCTTGTTGTCAGGCCCACCGACTACATCGCGGCCATGGGGCCGCTGGCAGATGACGGCCAGTACGGGGCCGGAAGCTCCTCGACGACGGTTGCCGGGACTTCCTCGCGCAATAGCGAGAAAGGGACGGCTATTAATATGGACATCTTGAGCAGGCCATAGCAACGGCGTAGTAACAGCCGTGCGCTTTGCCTGGGCTGGATAGATTTAGTGTAATATCACGACTTTTCATTCTCATCTTTTTGCCATGATACATGAGGCCAGGACCGACGATGATACCCAGCCAATCAGGCTGATTACAACCAGCCGCGGCCCACATCCATGGCCAATCAGACCCACCTATGCTGCCCGCGAGCGTCACACCTTCCTCCCCATGCGTCCCGGTTTGCATCTGACTTTTCCCCAGCATTGGAAGAACATGAAGCCCTTGAAAGCAATTGGCGCATCGCCAGCCATCCCTCCTGGGCACACTTAACCCCTAGTCGATGGTGCCGCCCAGTCTAATCAGCACAGAGCGCGTCACCCGCGGCCTTTAAGAACCCCCACCACCACCACTCTAGCCTTCGCCGCGCCATGCTGATCGCCCGCCTCGGCGCGGCGGCTCCGCGGCTAGCCCTGCGGCACGCCCTGCCCCGGTTCCGCCCACCAGGTCCGGCGTGCCGCCCGTCGTCCATCCCAACACACGGCGCAGCGCCAACACCAGCAGCAGCAGCAGCAGCGCGGAACAGCCCCGGGACGGCTTGGCGGTCGATGCACCAGCACCGCCGGCAGGGCGGCGGCGGCAGCGGCGGGCAACACTACCACCCGCCACCGCCGCCGCGGCCCTCGCCGATGGTGCCGACTAGCCGGCTCGTGGCGCGGGCCGTGGTGCTGGGCGTGGCGGGCGCTAACGTGGCCGTCTACTACTGGTGGTGGCTGGCGCGGCGCGAGGGCCCTCACAACTCGCCGTGGTCGACCCGCTGGTCGCGCACGACGGAGAAGCTGGACTGGATGCGCGAAAACTTTGTGCTGTCGGCCGAGAACGTGCTACAGGGCCGGTGGTGGACCCTGCTCACGTCGGCGTTTTCGCACTACGACACGGTGCACCTCGCAGGTAAGGGATGCTCGCTACCTCACTTTATCCCCCCTTTTTTGCTATCCCCACCACCAGGTGCGTGGCATGTGTCTACTCTATGAAATCGCCTCCATGAACCCTCAACCCTACCTTTTTCTTTTCCAGCCATGGTTTGTTCTCTAGTCCCTAATCAACAAACAAAAAAAACAGTCAACATGATGGTCTTCCACTTCTCGGCCACCATGGCCCTGGAGCTCGGCTTCGGCGCCGCGCGGCTTGCGTTTCTGTCGCTCGGCTCGGCCCTCACGGCCAGCGCGGCGTCGCTTCTGCACGACCAGACGACGGCGCACCAGGGCCCCGTCTCGGGCGCCCTGGGCGCCAGCGGCATGGTCGAGGGCATCATGGCCGCCGTGGCCTGCACCGCGCCGCGCCGCTGGGTGTACCTGCTCCTTCCGCCCGTGCCCGTGCCGCTCGGCGTCATGTGCTTCGGCTTCCTGGGCTGGGACCTGTACCGCCTGTACCGGGCCCGGACCGAGGGCCCGACCGAGAACTGGATGGGCAACTTTGTGGGGTACGCCGCGCACCTCGGCGGCGCCTTCTTTGGCGTCAGCTACTGGTTCCTGCGCATTCGGCCTGCTTTTAAGGGCGTGAGATTCTTCTAAGAGAAGGACTTGGTTTTTTCTTTCGGGTAGTGGAGGCTGTTTGTTATCAACGCCACAGAGGGCCTGTTTGAGTCTAACGCTGAGCCCGGAGGGGTAGATATGTACAAATGATACCAAAAGAGGAGAGATGTGAAATCGCTAGGGTGGAGAAATAACTACGAGTAAATGGGAGGGAGAGAGGGAAAGTGAAAAGAAAAGCATAACCCGCAACGCCGCGCCTCCAAGAAAAAAGCAGGGGAGCGGAGGGGGATATCCAGAGTACACACACACACACACACACACCCACACACACACACTCAATTCAGCAAGATATCGTAGCCGTCCTTGGTGATGCGCACCTCGTCTCCGCCCAGGCCGTACTTGCGCCTGACGAGCTCGAAGATGATGAGGCCGGCGCTGGTGCTGGGCACCTGCCGGACCGTATTCCACCAGAAGCCGCGGTAGAGCCAGGCGGCCAGCCCCTTGCCCTCGGCGGCGGCGGCGGCCCCGCACCGGCGCCAGGTCTCGCGGTAGGCGCGGTAGTAGGCGCGCCACATGCGGCCGCGTCGGCGGCGGGACGGGGGCTCGGAGCGGTACCGGCGGGCGCGGGCGTCGAGGTCCTCGAGGTGGTCAAAGTGCTCGAGCTGCAGGTGCGTGAGCGGGTAGGCGGCCAGCTGCTGCGCCACCGACGCGCCCACGCCCGCGAGCAGCAGGAAGCCCGGCTCGATGGCGTAGTGCGGCCGGATGACGGTGGGTTGGTGGTGGTGGTTGTTGTTGTTGTTGCTGTTGTTGTTGTTGTCCTCGGGGTTGCCGTCGGTCGTGGAGAGGCGGCTCCCGTCCGGCGGCGACGACGGCCGGCGCCGCGAAAGCAGGTCGACAATGTCGTCGCTCAGGCCGCCGTAGTACCACCTGACGAATTTGTAATAGCCCTGCGCCTTGATGTACTCAAAGGTGCTGAAGAAGACGGCGCTGCCGACGCTGTCCTTGGCCAGCGACAGGCCCCAGCCGGCAAAGACGCCGCGCAGGCCGATCTCGCGCAGCTTGGCGGCGCTGAAGGACCACATGCTGCGGGGCCTGCCGCGGGCGGCGCCGGCGCCGGCGTCCTTGCCCCCGC